GAATCAATTACGTCAGGGGTTTTCAAAGTGTGAGGCGCGCCTCCCCTGGGGGGCGCCAGAGCATGTCAGGGGAGGCGCGGGAAAAAATATAATATAATAAAAATATCATTATTAAGTTTAATTATTATATGTATTTTTTATTATATTTAAACGTTTATTATATGCCTGCTAATACAATGGGTCGGTTTCTGAGACCCACCCTGATTCAAAGCTGTAATGAAGTTCACGGCCCTTTGGCCGCCGGAAAGGAGGCGGAGAACCGAAGCAGTTTTAAAGTGATTTATTAATGACAGTGACGGCAGCTCCGTCTAAACCAAAACAAATGGACGGCAGATCCTCACGGAGACTGCCGTCAAACTGAAAGCAAAAGTAAAATATGTCCGGGCCCGGTCCTCTCTCGGCTTTCTCTGCCCTCGTTCCTCCTTTTATGATCCAGAGCTCCTTCCGTGAGATCCGAGGCAGGTGCGCACCGCAGGTGTATCCACTTACGCGGTGGCCTCACTCCGTTCCCACGGCGCTCGGCCACGCCCCCTCGCCACAAAAGCCTTCAAGTTCAGGGCTTAAACCCAAAAGACAACGATATGATGATCAGTATTTGAGTTTATGATTTACGTGGACAGGACCAGCTGATCAACCACGACCTTTATGTGTGGTTTGTCAAAATATTTTGGCTAATGACAGCATGAGACCCACTAAACTTCCACTGTTTTGACTGGGATGGACAGTTCTTGGAACTGTTCTATTCATATTGAACCATCATCCTAGTTTTAAAAACATTATATTAAAATACTTGTTATTACTCTGTAAATAATTGCACTTTCATGCAAATGATGATAAACATATATATATATATATATATATATATATATATATATATATATATATATATATATATATGTGTGTGTGTGTATGTGTGTGTGTGTGTGTACGTGCGTGCGTGTTTGGGAGGAGGGGGGCGCCAATGGATAAGTTGTGTCAAAAGGGAGGCCCACTGTCGCAGACTTTGAAAAACCCTGAATTACGTCTTCAAGTATTTAGTGCTTTTATGAACACCACTGAAAATACAAAGTGCATATTCTTAAAAATCACTCTGAAAGATTAAATAAATAAATGTTCACAGTAGTTTGAAATGCTGTAATATCAATATTGTGCATGTTTATTATCAAAATATGTAGTAGTATTGAATATTAAGTATATTGCTGTGTCCCAAATCACATACTTATGCACTTTTCTTCACCATTTTGTTGTAAGAATAGTGTAAGTAGTGCATTTACACTGAAAACTCTGAAAATAATAAGTGCACTTTAATTACCCAGATGATGCACTTATTCAGCCGCTAAAAAGAAGCGTGTAATGTTGGACTCTTCACACACTCAACGACCACTGCTTTGCTCATTTAGCGAAAGGGACAAAACTTTCAGGCACTGATGTTGGATCCGTTTATTTATTTTGCAATGTGAAATCAAAATTCTCCTACGAGAGGGATTATACAGCCTCTCGATGGTGAATGCAATTCTACTCATGGCAGGTATTATTTGGTAGTTTGGTCATTTATTTCACTGATTTGGCAACCATTGGTGTTCCATTTGGGATGACACTACACTACATACATATATTATGCTGTTGAGTGTGTAAGTGTATAGTGGGCCATTTGGGACGCAGCTTTTGTGTATGCAGTTGGAATTTATGTTATTTTCCCACCTCTGAACCACTTCTGTGGCCTCTTTGCTGTGTTAATTTGGTATTTGTCATTGATACTCCATGTTAATGCTTTCTCAAACACACATACTTAAACAATGATTAATGTTTTGTTTATTTTTGGTTTACAGGCTCTTAGGGAAGAACTTGACCAGGGAAAAGAAAATGCAGAAAGGGACAAACAGGTAAGCGGAAAGCCATTCAATTATAATGCATACCAGGACGATAACCTTAGCATCTCTGAGTGACAAGTTACTATTTGTTTATGTTGTAACTGATTTGAGCAACGTTAAAAATTCAGGATTTGTGCACTCCAAAACAGTCAAAAACTGTTCATTTAAAAGCATTGTTCCTCATCCATACTAATATCCCTGTAAAATGATTAGGAAGGATCCTATCTTGTAATTAAATATGACAGAAAAGCTCAAAGAGTGTGGGAACCCTGTAGAATGGCAACACACTAAGCTGGATTAGTTAGCTGAAATCTGTGTCTGTCGTAAATGCAAATGAAATATTATAATGAATCCTCCCAGGTCCTGTGGTCAGCTTGGACAGGAGTATGTGTAGGGCTGTACAATAAATCGTTTCAGAATCGACATCGCAATGTGTAAACCTGCAAAAGTTACATCGTAGGATCTGTAATGTCAAATTGATATTATAATTAACCAGAAAACACAGTTTAAAACAGTGGTTCTCTACTTGTTTGGCCATGGGACCCACATTTTGAAATGGTCATCAAGCCGCGACCCAAATTTTTAGGAACTATAATATAATTTTAGGAATTATAATTCATTTTGTATTTATTTGTTAACATACACAAGCAGTGACAGATACATCATAAGAAAATCACCAAGACTTACAAATAAGCAATATTTTTTTGCTGTCATTTAACAAAATGTATCAAATTATAGAAATATTACAAAGTAAAAACGACAAATACTGTAATACAGTGCAGTGGTTAGGGTAAGGAAATGTTCAGTTACCATGAACTAAACTAAACTGTTAATAAAACATTAACACTGACCCTGTTGAACAGAACAAACCAGCAAATTACAGTAAAATTATTAAAATAATCATAACCATTTTTACATCTAATATGACAGCAATTATAAACATCTGTTTCACTTAACAGTAATTTGATAAGCAGATAACCAAGGATGTGCCTTACTCCTGATAAGTCTGGGATGAAGGTAGACAATGCTAACCGAAGATCGTGCTCTGTTCAACCTGTTCCTTTGCTTTGACTTAAGCTGAACCAAGCAAGTGAAGCCACTTTCACACAAAAATGTAGTGCTGAATGGTAGGATGGATTTGATCGCACGAGTGGCAAAGGACAGATACTCAGAAAGCACTTCGTGGCACCAAAACTGCGAGAGGCTTACTTCACTGAATTTCTTTTTCATCGTCTTACCACATGATAGCTCCACCAGCTGATTCTCTCCGTTGCTAGGCAATGTGACGCTTTCCACGTCAAATTCCGAAGGGATCGCTCATCCACAGATCATCATCCTGTTTTTTCAGGAAAGTTGTCGAGCGTGCATGTCAAAATAAAAGTCTGGTATAAGCTAATTAAGTAAAAATTGTAACTTTTGTTGTTTTTTTTGACCACACACTCCGCGACCCACTGAAAAATGTTCCCGCCATTTGAGAAACACTGGTTTAAAACATCCAAAGCTTAACTCTAATCTAATAGTAAGACCTTTTATTTGGATGTGTTTAAGACCTGAGGCTGTGACTAAGATTTGAAATTAATTTAAAGCATTTGTGCACAAGAATTTATAAAGTTTGCCACTTAATTCAATGTGTTTAATTATTTAATACAATAAAGACTATATGCAGTGTTATTTTATATATTGAATTTTTTATACTTCATTATTGTTCGACTCCACCGAAAACCATAAAGTGTTGTTTATTTCACGACGCCTGTTTTAGGCCTTAATTAAATTTTGTCTGAACCTGTAGTTACTGTAATTTGCCTTTTTAAAGGGCATTTATGAGGGAAAGGTGTCTTTTGTAAGCTGTTTAAACAGAACTGTGTGTAGATATATTGTGTCCACAGTCTATCAATCCACTGCAGTGATAGAAACACAATAAGCCTCTTTTTTTTTTAATTTCCTGACATTAAAATAGGATCTAAATCCCTCCCATTTTGAGGCTGGCCGCAACGTGACATAGGAGTGCCGTGTATGTTATTAACATGGCTCCATAGTAACACGTATAATCATATCAAAATGTGCAAAGCAGCCAGGATTAAAAGATCTGTTCAGCTCTCTGTGATCATCAATCATCATCAAATGTGATCAAGAGTGAGGTTCACAAGTTTAAAACATTTTAAAAACAGTGCATGTTTGTAATAAAAACAGTAAAATCGCTGTAATTCATCACCACAGCTGCATGTCAGTACAATTATGAAAGAAGACGCTTCAATGCTGGTTTGTGGACGTTAAATCAGGTTTATTTTGTACATTAACACAGCGTACATCCATACAGCAGTGGATATTAACGTGTATCCTGTCACATTTGCATGCAATTTATGTGCGCACTGTGTGCGCGCGTGAACTTTGTAAAGACATTGTGTGTGACTCACTGAAAGGCTTGAATTAACTCCACAACAAATACATCAAATAATCATTGGGAAAGTTCTTACTGTAGTCTTTCTCACAAATGTTACGTGAGATCTGCTTCCTTCATGTTTGTCACTGCTGTTTATCTGATGCTGCCGGAGATTAAAAGACACCTTGACAGGCATGTGGGAACGGTGGCCCGGGAGATCCAGCATTAAAGGCACAGGCGACAAAAACAGCTACATTGTGTTTAGAGCAAAAAATTGTAATATTCTGAAAGGTCTAATAAATAATCTGATGGGTGTTTTGAGCTGACACTTTACAAAAACATTCTGGAGACACAACTTATATTACATCTTGAAAAAGAAGTAAAATAGGTGTCCTTTAAGCTTGAATTTTTAGGTGAGCACAGTCTGAATGGTAAAATACTGAGAGCTCTTTTTGAGACCGCATGGACACACATTAAAGCTTAATACATGATGTTTTTAAGGATTTTCTAGATCTTCAGAAATAGTAATTTACTATTTCATCCGTGTTCTGCATGCTAGCATGTTCCGCTGTGACCTGTAGCATCTTCAGCGCACAGCGTGAGCATCAGTGGCCCAAATACAGCACTCCTGATTGGACGCCCGCTGAGCTGAGTAGATTAATCTGTGTGTGTTCATGTGTGTGTGTTGTGCACATCACCCAAAGGATTTCCTGTGTGTGTTTGTGGATTAGAGGTTTTAAATCTGCGTGTGGGCAGAGCACAGTCAGAGCAGGAAGGAACGGAAAGACTCCGGAGCAGATAGATAGTTAGCATGTGTAAAAATCAGAAAGCTTGTGCGTTTGTCTGCGCTTTAGATCATGCGTGACCCTTGCCGAGTATGTGGCGTGTGTGTGCAGGGCGGTCAGTGCCGCTGGTTGTTCAGCGCATGCGGCCGTCTGAGGTTGGCTGTCGTCCTCTCTCATGTGTTGGGATTGGAGTTGCAGCGGGACGGCCGCAGCGAGTTCCTCTGTGGGAAATGCGTTTTTTTACTTGAGCGTATCGTGCAGTGTGATGTCACCATCGGACAGCTGCAGGAAACACATGCTGCTCAGCTCCAGCAGCTGGAGAAGGAGAGAGACGGACTGAAAACGCAAATCACAAACAAATACAGACAGCACAACCCAACGGGAAGCAAACTTCTGAAATGGGACGTCCAGCCTGGAGCTTGTTTATATACTCCAAAGCAGCTGCAGAGCATGCAGTGTCCTCAACCAAAGCAATCACAAATTTCAGACATCCAGGAAACCACACGAAGAAACCGAAAGGTCGTTTCTGCAAATTTAGGCTGTGAAAAGAAGTTTGCAGGCAGCTTGAGGAGATGTGTGAGTCTTGAGCCGCTTTGTAAAGTAGGAACAGATCGTTCGCATCGTTCAAAATTGAATTCACGCTTAAAAGCCGCTGATGTTCCAGCACCGCGACCTCGTTCTCTCAGCCGAGACTACTTGGATGTTGTGAATAAGAAGAGTTCGTTATCACGTTCGATTTCTCTCCAATCAGTGGCCTTGGAAAACACTGACCACGCCCTCATCAGGCAGACACGCCCATTCAGAGGCTCCACCCCTGCAGCTGTTGAAAAAACCTCGCTGGTGTTTGACATCCTGCAGCTCTTAAAGATCGTACAAGGAGTGCGGTTCGTCCCACGATGTGGAGGTAGTAGGATTCCAGTGCTGAAACATCCACTGCATTCGCATGCAAACACCCACAAGGGAGGTGTGTCTTGGAAATCGAGGGTGGAGAGAAATTTGAGAGAGATGGAAGATGAATTTAATGATGATTACAGACCACTAAAACGGGAGGTACACACACGTGCTGTGAGATTTTAATGAACATGTGTTTTATTGGGTTGCTTGCTTTTAATAAGTGCAGAGAGTATATTTTGGACCTGCAAAGTTTAAGCAGGAAACGTTTTAGATTTTTTTAAAATCATATTTATGTTAAAAACCTGATCTGAATTACCTTTTGTTTATTTGTTTGTGGTTTTTATTGTATTAAATTGTATTTATTTATTTATTGTAGATTTATTGTATTGTATTTGTAATGAATTTGGTTTTTTGCCATGAAAAAGCATTTGTTTTTGACATGGCATTAAATAAAATGTGGGATATGATGTGATATGATATATGGTTTTAATAAACATGCTCAAATTTAGGGATGCAACGATTATAGATTTTGATTGTATGATTATTCTCTGAGGAATAATCACTGCTATCAGGATTATAATAATTCAATAATTTTAAAACACTACTAGTCTAGAAAATCACATAAAATCATCCTTATATTATAAAGTGTTATTTATTGCTGCTCAGTAACCAATTAATACAGCACAAAATACCAAAACAAACAATAGTCCATTTCTCTTAAGACTTAAAAAAAAAGGGAAAACATTTTTGGCATTTAAACACAAGTAATAATTTTACAGTAAAAATGAACGACAGAATAATGAATAAATAAATTGTTAATTACCCCTCGCATGCCCCATTTGCTTCGTGTATAATGGTACAATATGCGCACACAAGCCGAACGCCTCCATTGGAAATGGCAAACTTGCACGCGCAAAAGATGCGATATGTGAACCCCCTTAGTTAATAGCCTAAGCCATAGTTAATCTTGTGTGCATGCATATTAGCCTTGGTGTACTAGCTCGGAACTTTAAACTAGCGCACAGTTGGCATTACTTTGTTTAGTTGCAGCAGTTTTGTTTCGTGCAGAAACACGATGTTGAGGAGCCTTTACGATTAATTACCCATGACTAACTAAAGTGTGGTTAATAGTGAAATTGGTTAATTCTTGCATCCTTACACTAGGCATGGGCCGGTATTAGATTCTGACAGTGTGATAACCTTGGATAAAGAATATCACGGTATCATGGTATTTTGGTTGCTGCTCTAAAATAAGTTCTTTTTAAATGTCCGGGTAAAAAACGAAAAACTTTTTCCACAACACAATGTGGAAATTTTTTTTAACACAATATATTTATTTTGTGAAATATTAAAAATATTTTTGAGCAGTAAACATGTCAGGCTAAATAATTCAAATAAATATTTGACTTTTGCTGTCTTCATTAATTTTAAAAACACGGATTTCTTTACAATTTAAAACAGCATCTTTGGATATGTTTTTTTTGCTGGAGATACTATTGTCCTATAAAAATCAAAAATAAAATAAAAAATCTAACACATACCTTAGGAACGGTATTACAGAAAATTTTGGCGGTTGTAAAACCTTGACTTTTCCATAAAAGTCCTTCAAAACGGTTATCGTCCCATGTCTACCTTACACAAATTATGCATAGTACATCAAAAATGCACGTCCTAACAGCTTTATTGTTGTTTTTCAAGCAAAAAATTTATTGGTTTGTTTGTGTTGCAGATAATCGTTGATCGGCAGAATGAACTCAGCAGATTGGAGCAGAAAACCAGACAGCTTACTGAAGAACTGAACAAAGCAAAGAACAATGGTCAGACGCTCAAAGATGCGCTAGATGAAATGGAGAAGGAGAAGAAGGTACATACTGCCTTGAATAATAGCCATATGTGATCCTTGATCACAAAACCAATCATACATGTCTTTTTTTGGGGGGGTATTTAGATTTAGCCATTACATGAATGCTAAATAAATACACTTTCTATTGATGGCTTGTTGGGATAGGACAATATTTAGCAAAGATACAATGATTTGAATATCTGCATTCTGAGGGTTCAAAAAAATCAACATACTGAGAAAATCACCTTTAGATTTGTCTAAATGTGCTCACAGAATGATCTTAAATTAGTATTCTAATGATTTTTGGCATGAATTAAAAAAGTTTTACATTGTCTTTTTGGCTATTGCCAAAAAATGTACCAGTGCAGCATAAGACACCTTAAGGTTTTGTTCTTCATGGTCACTCATTAACGTTACTGATTCTGTGAAAGCATGAGGTCTAAACTGAAAATTGTTAGTAAATTAAGAATGTGTATTAAATTCTCACTGCGTTCTTTTCTTTGTTTCAGGCTCTTTCTGATGAGCTCCAGAAGCGAGAGATCGAGCTCTCTACAGAGAAGAAGAACTCTCTGAAACGAGACAAAGCCATCCAGGGTCTCACTCTGTTTCTGAAAGAGAAAGAGAAGGAGGTGATACATAATCTCATTTCATATTGTTTTTAAATCTTAGATTATGTGATTTATTTGGTCACACTTTACAATAAGGTTCATTAGTTAATGTTAATTAATGCATTTACTAACATAAACAAACAATGAACAATACATTTACTACTGTATTTGTTCATGTTAGTAAACGTTAGTTAATAAAAATACAGCAGTTCATTGTTAGTTCATGTTAACTCATGGTGCATTAACTAATGTTAACAAGCATGGACTTGGATGTTAATAATGCATTAGTAAATGTTCAATTATCATTAATAAATGCTGTTCATGATTAGTTCATGTTAGTAAATACATTTACTAATGAACCTTATTGTAAAGTGTTACCATTTATTTTTTTTCACTTGGTCTAATTCAGAAAAAAGTATTAACACCAAAAACTACCATGAAATATAATTGCATCTAAGTTTCACTTTTTCTCCCTGTCTCCTCAGATTGAGGATTTATCTGGAGATCTCGAGGAGAAGGATCAGGCTCTGGCCAAGGCTCGAGAGGCCCTTCATAAAGCCAAACTACAGAAATATCATGTATGTGAGATTTTTAGTGGTCTGGTGCATTGACATACATTTTATTTCGACCTGGAACATGTGCAATGATCCGTTCTTAAGGGACCAGCTAAGATTATTATCGTTTCCACATAGAATTAACAGCATTTTGCATCTCTAATGACCATTTGTGTTTGGATTTTGCTGAAACCATTAAAAAAACATAAGAACATAAAAAAAGATGTGAATGGCAGCTACAATTTACTCTTAATCCTTGAAGCACTCTCAACATATCCTATAACAATCACAAGATTTGTCAATGGAAAATGTATGATGAATGTATCCTTTTTAACATTTGGACAGCTACAAAAATCTGTTAGCAGTAGCACTGCAAAAAATGCTTTTTTTTACTTGATTTTTTTTGTCTTGTTTCTAGTCCAAATATCTAAAAGTTCTTAAATCAAGAGGCTTTTTCTAGACAAGCAAAAAAATATTGTCTTATTAAAAGAAATAATATGTCAAAACTTAGTTTTTCCTTCAAACAAGCAGAACAATCTGCCTTATGGTAAGCAAAGTAAACAAAAGGAAGAACTAGGTTATTTGCTCACACCATTGGCAGATTATTTTGCTTGTTTTAAGGAAAAACTCACTTAATGTTGGCGTATTATTTCTTAAAACAAGACTTTTTAAAAAATGCTTTGTGTTTTTAATCCAAATATCTAAAAAAAAAAATTTAATCTAGACAAAAAAATCTTAGTAAAAAAGCATTTTTGCAGTGTGAAAACAATTTCGACTACCTCTTGAAGTCCACAGTTGATTGGTGGTCCAAATGGGGTTGAGTTGCACTTGAACTAATTGTTTGTGGTCAGATTGCATCTTAGCTATTCAGCAACGCATGTATTGGAGTTGAATAAATGGTTTTTGTAATATGTGTGTGTTTCTTCTGTGTGTTCTAGGGAGCTGAAGACCAGCAGTCTCTACTCCTGGAGCAGCAGGCTGAGTTATCACGGCTCCAGGCGGAGGCTCACTCCTCTCTGCTAGAAGCCCAGAGACTGCAGCGTGTGCTCGGCAGCAGAGATTCAGAGCTTTCCCTCCTTCAGCAGGCCAAACTGCAGCTGGAACAAGAGCTGGAGCAACTGCAGCAACAGAAGAAGAAGGGGGACAAGACTATTAATGTAAGCCTATGAACACATAGGCAGAAATGGGAAACGTTTCCATGTTTGTAGACATTTGGAAATTGTCTGTAGGATACTGGATTTCTCAGTCCTGTACATAAGATTACATTTGACACAAGCTGTTGAAAAAAATCTCTAATGAAAAAGTTTGCTTTAAGAAACCGTCCAATTTTCAATAGGCTCATTTTACAACTCCTCAAAGTTATACAGTTCATTTTTGAATCCATTCAGCCTATCTCTGGGTCTGGCAGGAGCAGTTGTAGCTTAGCTGAGCATAGATCATTGAATCGGATTAGACCATTAGCATCTCCCTCAAATGTTGTACCCTGGCTACAGCAGGGGCTATGATATTACGCAGTGCCTGAAAATTGGCTAGCTTATGTCAATATAACCAGCATGACCACCTGCTTGCACTGAGAGTGTGCCTCACAACCATGTAGACATTTGTGTAAAATGATTCGGGACATATTTACTTTGATGCAGATCCTGAAATATATCTATTTGAACCAGAATACATGGAAGTTAGCAGATTTTCAGGTGATTTCTCAGGGTCAAAAATGACAGAGTTTCAGTAATGTATTTTAAAGCTTGACTCAAGAGATGAGTGGATCTTTACATTTAAAATCATCTTGCATCATTTTTGAGTGAGATGCTAATGGTCTAATCCATTTCAATGATCTATGCTAAGCTAAGCTAAAAGTGCTCCCGCCAGACCCAGAGGTTGTTTTCAAGCAATCAAAAATGATAAAGCACAGCTGTTTAACACCTATGCGAGTTGTAAAATGAGCTTGTTTTCAGAAAATTGCTTAATTTTGCAGGATCTTCAGAACCAGTTAAAGAAGCTCAATGGTACTCTGGCTGACCGAGAGAACGCTCTAGATCAACAGCGTCTAGAGCAGCAGGAACAGATCCGAGCATCAGAACAGAAGATGCAGAACGCCATGGAGAGACTCACAGCCAGCCTGAATCATAAAGACCAGCAGCTTCAGGTACACACAAACACCCACACAACCACACACACATACTCGTATATATGGTTTACTAGGACTCTCCATTGGTTTAATACATTTTATACCGTAAAAAAAGCTTATTATATGGCCTCACACCTTAAACTAAACCCAACCCTCACAGGAAACATGTGGAGATTTTAATGTCAAAAGACCACTAAGTATGTTTCAAATTCTGAGGACACACCGCTTGTCTTAATAAACCCCTTAAAGGGATGGTTTACCCAGAAATAAATACTCACACATTATTATTTAGTCTCCCTTAAGAGTTTCCAAATTCAGTGCTTCCCACACATAGACTTTCTTGGGTGGACCACCCCGGTATAATAACGACCGCCCATGTATATTTAGTGACACATATTTTTACTATTATTATCATCTTTTTACACTTTTTTTATTTGTATCCGCCCAATATAACCGTCCCCAATCGATTAAGTAGTGGAAAATCTTCTCTTGTTTACCTGTTTTGTTCTGTGTGCAAGACCTGTTAACACATGCTCTGCAGATACACAAAGACGCTCCTTTTTGGCACTTACAAAATTCGCCCGGCCAGGGTTTCTAAATCTCCTAAAAATGTTGGGGATTTTCTGTGTTTGCTTTCACTTTTTAAAGCTGTCATTATTTAATCAGATGCGTTTTTGCATTTCCTTTTTACTTAACTACTTTTGCTTGGCTTTGCAGCTGACTGCACGCACACAGTGGGAGAGAAACATTAAATAGTTAATTCTTTAATCTAAATGACTCAGATAAACGTCACTATATACTCGGAGAGGATGAAATAACTGGTCTAAACTGGCTGCAAAATGAATGTACATCTTTAGTAATGGTAAATCAGCGCATTTGTCTTAAATAATCTACAGGTTTTATTCTTGTAGCAATTATAATTTTTAGCAATAGTGTCTGTTTTTTAATTACCTTTTCTGTCATTTATTTCATATTTGTTTTATATTATTTTATTAATTTGATGATTTTTTGTATATTACATAGCTTATTTTCTATACATATCTAAAATGCTTTGGCATTCAAGTAACTTGAAAGAAAAAGAGAAGCAGATTTTACCCGTCATTGGGTGCACATGGCTCCTGAATAGCATAAAAGTAAGAGAAAGTGTATTTCTACAGTCTTTTTTAACTCTTTAAAAAGAAACAGTGAATAAAATTATTGTAAAAAATTAAATAATGTTTTGTTTGTTGCATATAGTGGTCACACTTTACAATAAGGTTCATTAGTTAATGTTAATTAATGCATTTACTAACATGAACAAACAATGAACAAAACATTTCCTACTGTATTTGTTCATGCTAGTTAACGTTAGTTAATGAAAATACAGTAGTTCATTGTTAGTTCATGTTAACTCATGGTGCATTAAGTAAAGTTAACAAGCATGGACTTGGATGTTAATAATGCATTAGTAAATGTTCAATTATCATTAATAAATGATGTACGTGTTGTTCATGATTCGTTCAAGTTAGTTAATGCATTAACTAATGAACTTTATTGCATAGTGTTACCCATATAGTTTACTATTTATGCGACGTGGGTAACCGCATACCACCGCAAGTATATATCAAACCTGTGGGAAGCACTGCAAATCTTTGGGTTTGTTTCTTCTATTGAATACAAAAGAAGATATTTTGAAGAATGCTGAAAAAACTATGGAAGTGAATGGTAGCAAGGAGGCGCAGTGGGTAGCATGTTCGCCTCACAGCAAGAAGGTCGCTGGTTCGATCCTCGGCTCAGTTGGCGTTTCTGTGTGGAGTTTGCATGTTCTCCCTGCGTTCGCGTGGGTTTCCTCCAGGTACTCCGGTTTCCCCCACAGTGCAAAGACATGCGGTACAGGTGAATTGGGTAGGCCAAATTGTCCATAGTGTATGAGTGTGTGTGTGTATGTGTGAATGTTCTCATCTCATCTGCCAGAGATGGGTTGCGGCTGGAAGGGCATCCGCTGCGTAAAAACTTGCTGAATAAGTTGGTGGTTCATTCCACTGTGGCGACCCCAGATTAATAAAGGGACTGAGCCGACAAGAAAATAAATGAATGAATGAACGGTTGCAGGTTTCTAGCTTTCTTTAAAATATAGGTCAACTCCATAAAGGTTTGAAACAAGTATGACAGAATTTTTGTTTTTAGGTGAAGTGTCTCTTTTATAGAGTATAACTTGGTCATACCCATGTCATTATAAAATTACACAAGTGCAAACACACACACTTGCTTTTCAACGACACAATCTACATTGTAAAAAGCAGTGTAGAAATAAAGACTAAAGCTGCATCCCAAATGGCACACTATACACTATGCACTCATGCACTATGTACTTATGCACTTACACACTCAACAGGATAGTATATGTATGTAGTGTTGTCCCAAATGGCACACTAATGTTTTTTTACTAAGCGGAAATTCAAACCGTTTCCCTGATGACGTTTGACGGTTGCCAAATCAGTGAAATAAACGACCGAATTATCAAATATTACCTGCCGTGAGTATTGCCGCATTCACCATCGGAAGGCGCTATAATCACTCTCGTAGAAGAATTTTGCTTTCACCATCCAAAACAAATAAAGTTATCCAACATGTGCGTCCGATCGCTCCGCCCCTTCCGCTACGTAAGCAAACCTGCGGTCGTTGAGTGCGTGAAGTGTCCATCATTACACACTTCATTTTAGCGGCTGAATGAGTGCATCATCCGGGTAATTAAAGTGCACTTATTATTTTTATAGTTTTCAGTGTAAACTCACTACTTACACTATTCATACTACAAAATTGCGTAGAATAGTGCATAATAGGGTTGGGCATCTAAGCTATAATGCCGATCCGATACGCATCTCGATACAAAGAATACGATCCGATATATTAGCGATACATTTGTGACATATTGCGATGCAACACGATACGATTCACACCCATATCACGATACAATGCGATAATTCAGCACTAATTAGATAAAGTTTATGAGATGATGTGAAAGAGGATGCTGTGCCATTGAATGAGTTTGATTATTTATAAACCAAGCAAAACCAAGACTTTTTTTACAAACTGGCTCTTCTCTCAGAGCCAGAGTGTCAGTTTACAGTAGAGGGCCATTTTAGAACCTATAGCACATATTATTTAAGTATTTTCAAGATAAACAGAATGTATAAGTGCAATATCAATTAAAAAATATGTATATATTTGCACTCTTTCAACATAAATAAATTTAGCATTGCACAACAAGAATTGTGATTTAACTTTTCAACTATGAAAACAAGTTTTACAAAGATATATTTTGCCACTGATTATTCAAAACTTAAGGTTGTGAACTAGCAGTGTTATGCTGCTTTGAAACATCACTGTCACTGTAAACAACAGGCTAATAAAAATATAACAAACCAGCAATCTTCTTGCTGTGAGGTGGTCAAACTACCCACTGTGCCACCGTGACACCCAATTATTTTTATCATTATTATTATATCATTAATATTATAATTATTATAATTAAATAAAAATTAACAGGAGGAGGTGTTTAAAACCTTCTCCGTGACACTAGGCTGAATGTCTTTGCAGATGAACAATGCAATAGCATTTGTTATTGGCGTAGAGCGAGCAGAACTGTTGCGCATGGAAAAAAAACTTGCAATGCTTTTCTCACCACTTTTGGAGCTGGTTGAAGCAGTGCGAAAGCCGGGGATGCAGAAACACTGGAAGATGCTTTCACAACAACACCGTGGCGCTGCTTCAAGTGAGATTTCAGATTAGTCGTACTGCCCGCGTATTTTACAGATGCGCGGCACATTTTGCAAATTGCATCTGTCCTGTCATGTCGTCCATCCTTAAATCCATAATGTTGCTTGCCATACTTTAGATTTAAAACTCAGTGGGGAATAAAATGTTTGTTTTGCTTCTCGCGCTGTCTGAGGGCGCTCCACTAGCTTCATCCGCACACCTGATACACTGAGTTGTAGTGTGTGCACATCCGCAAATCCGTTGCTAAGGCTTACTTTATGTAGGTCGATTAAATTATGCGCCAAAAACAGGTTGACAACACTTGTTAATAAATAAAAAATACATTCTATATTAAAAATATAAGCTGTATCTCGGAAAAATCGATGCATCTCGCAAAAACCGATGTATCTCGATTTGCTTCCAAAATTTCATTCATCCTCTGCTGCTCAACCGATGCACTCGCATCGTGCACGCGCATGACCGCGTATCGATACATATCGGTTAATCTTCCCATCCCTAGTGCATAAGTATGCGATTTGGGACGCAGCTTAATTGAATTGTTTTCTCAGGACTATATGAACATGGTGAGAGATTTGGAGAAGAACAGAAGCCAGGAGGAAGGGGATCCCATGTTGGCTAAGCTGAGAGCACGACTGAAGGAGAAGGAAAAAGCACTTGAGGTTTGTGGCTCTTCTTTTATTGTATTAAAGGGATAGTTCACCCAAAAATTCCACACTGTTTATCATCCTATAGTAGTTCAGACCCTTTTTGAGTTTCTTCATTCTGTTAAACACAAAAGAAGATATTTTGAAGAACATTGGAGACCTGTAATCATCGACTTCCATAGTAGGAAAAACAAAAACCATGGAATGGTCAATGGTTACAGGTCTCCAGCTTTCTTCTAAACATCTTCTTTTGTGCTCAACAGAAGATAGAAACTCAAAAAGAGTTGGAACAAGTGAAGGATGAGAAAGATTTCTCACTTCAGAATTTTACAGAACTGTAGTTTATGAGGAAATTTCTTTCTTTGGGTTTGTAAACAAGCCACATCATGTTAGGCCAGTCTAAGCTATGCAAGATTAAAAATATACATCTTTATGCAATTATTCAATATTAAGATCAAGATACTTTAATCATTCAGGCTGTAACAAAAAAACTTTCATTTTTAAACTATGCGAATGCGTGCGTCTCTGTGAAAAGCGCATGCTGGAGGACAGAACTGCAGTATGTGTCTGCAGAACAGATACATGTGCTTAAGATAGAATACATGTTATATGCTAATAAGGATATTTTATCTGTCTACTGTCCGCGGTAATTAAACAGGATCAGTAAACAGTTGGCAGTCGGCCTGTGAAAGGAATGTCTGTTTACATTTTTTTTTACTTGCACCTAAAGGGATGGTTAAAGGGGCAGTTACCCAAAAATGAAAATTAGCCCACTATTTACTCCCTGCCCTTGTTTCAAACTTGTTTGAGTTTTTATTCTTTCTGATAAACGCAGGTAAAGATATTTTGTAGAACAAGTTTTATGTTTAAAAGAGAAAGAAACACAAACAGGTCTGAAATTAGTGAAAGGTGAAAAAATAATGACACAATTTTACAGTTTGGGTGAAATATGTCTTCTCTACTTCAGGGCTAAATTCATTCAGTTTTGTTTATATATAGCCATATGGTTTATATATAAATGGTTTGTAATGGTTATATGGTTTATATATATATATATATTACTCTGTAATTTATTGGAATGTTTATTATAGTAAAAAAAAAATTGGAAACAATGTTCACTTAATGTAATTCTTTTTGGTTATTTTAATAAATAAATTATTAAAAGCTTTAAAACGTTAAATAATACAATTTGGGTCATTTAAAATAAATATGTAACCTCTAACAAATGCCATTTTTTCTTTTTTATTTAATAAATAATGTATTTTTTATTTGGGCTACTTACATTTATATTCGGGCTACCAAAAAACTGAAGAGTGCCTGCCCAAGGGCTGCCAGAAATTTTAAAGTATTGCGAGATCTGTTTAAGAGAGAGCTGATCATAAATTTAACTTTCTAGATTTTTTTTCTTTTTTGATTTTGCTTTGCTGGTCTTTGAGCAGAAAGCCTTGGATGAGAAGTTTGCAGCTGTGGAGGAAAAAGAAAATGAGATCCATTTGCTGCAGCTGAGTTTGAGAGAGAAGGAAAGAGATGTGGAGCGTCTCAACAACCTGCTCTCCCACAACGAGGAGACCATTAATGTAAATGATGAAGAGAATATGTGGATTAGTGAAAGTATCATTTCTTTGATTTTGATGCTCATGATTTCTCTTGATCTGCGCTTGTGTAGAGTTTTGATGCTGTCATAAAGGAGAGAGATCTGGAGCTGCAGCAGCTGTTGAACTCTCTGAAGAATCTGCAGAGGAGTAAAGACGAGACTGAAGAAAACCTCCACAGAGCTCTGAGAGAGAAAGATGCCATTATACAACACTTACAGCAAGCGCTGGACAACAAAACCAAAGATATGGAGGTATACACACACACACACACACACACACACACACACACACACTGTAGTTTCTCGTGCAGCTCCACGTCAGAATGTGGTTGGATTTAAAGCATTTTTTTCTAGAGATGCACCGATACCGACTGATACCGATAACTATAGATTTGGATTCCGATATTCATTCATTTTCCTTCACTTTGTCTCTTATTTATCAAGGGTTGCCACCGCAGAATGAACCGCCAACTATTCCGGCATATGTTTTATGCAGCAGATGCCCTTCCAGCTGCAACTCAGTACTGGGAAACACCCATACACTGTCTTATTTTTACACACACTCATACACTATGGCCAATTTTGTTTACCCTATTCACTTATAGCGTGTATGGAAAACCTGCAGGGGAAACCGGAGCACCCAGAGGAAACTCATGCGAACACGGGGAGAACATGCAAACTCCACACAGAAATGCTACCTGGCCCAGTCTGGACTCAAACCAATGACCTTCTTGCTGTGAGGCAATGGTGTTAACCATTGAGCCACCATGCCGGGAGGCCGATTTATTAGCAGATAAATTTTTTTTTTCTCATTTTGCTTTATGATTTAAAAAACAAAAGGCAAACCCATACTGTAAGCAACAGGTTTTATTCTTATACCTTAATTTCAGAAAGATCTCTGAAGTTTATTTCCCACAGTTCTTTTCTATGGCCAACTTTCTTTTATATAAATTAAAATCTGCCAGACGAAAAAAAGCATGCATATTAACCAAAATTAAAATACCAGTAAAAAAAGCAAGAGCAAAACAGGTTTAACCAGTGGAAATAACAGGCAGTTTATCATCTTAAAGACATCTGCCTAATTTTTTTTTTATCAGACCGAAAACAAATAATGGACGTTAAAAATATCACTTGTTGGCTGATATCACTATGGCATCCCTAATTTTTCCAAACTTGTTTTACAGGAAATGGCCAATAGGGTTCTGAACCAGTCAGAGTCCCAGGGACGTGACCTCGCAGAGCAGATGAGTCAGAGGTTAAAGGTCACGGAGGCAATGCTTTCAGAGGCGGTGAAGGACCGAGAGAGGCTAGTGACTGAAAACCAGACCGCTGTAGAAAACCTGCTGGCCACCATCAGCAGCAAAGATCAGCTATTAAAGGTGTTATTTGTTGTATTACTTTTATTTGACATATTAGTGAGATATTACTATTGTTTTTATTATAAGAGTATACGAGTAGTCAACATTTGAAGTGGCTTAAAACCTTTTATCACAGTTGTCTTTTGAAACACTTTATTGATGCTTTCAAAGGGTAACTACTGTATTTATATTCAATAGTTTTTTTATTTCATTTTGTATATGTTAATTTATTTAAATGTTTATTTATTACACATAATTGTTTTTCTTTTTTTACTGTAAATAAAATATTTTATAATTGTTTTTATTTATTTTTAAAAATGTATTTTCATTTATTTATTTATTTATTTATTTTTATTTTTTTTATTTCATTTTAGTTTTGGTTGTTTTAAAGTCTTCGTTATCCACAAGTGGATCATAAAAGTTTTTCAAAATTATCCTTAGATAAGAATGAGTGTTGTTCAGTAGATTCAAACCAACTTTAATGAAAGTTTTTGATCCACTTTGAGTTGTCTTCTAATATGTATTAAAACGGATATAAATAAGCAGTCATTCGCTGATGCTTTATGTGCACAATTTTCTTGTCACTCGTAAATGTGTGTTTTTGTGTTTGTAGGAAAGTATGGAGCGCCACACACACACTCTTAGTGACCGTTCAGCTGAAATGCTGGATCTTCGTAAGCAATTATCAGACACGCAGCAGCAGCTCAGAAACGCACAGAGACTGAATGCAGCAGCCACGCAGGACGGTCATCTAGAGATCGCGGAACTCCGTGCAATGCTGTCAGAGAAAGACGCCCTCATCAATGTGAGACTTTTTACTGGCTTCACACTTAAGACTGCATTTACACTGCAGATCTTGATGGTCAATTTTTTTTGATGAACCGCTTACATCATCTTTTAAAAGTGACTTGTATATGATGTCCCCATTTATCCTGCACATACAAAGATCCGGAAAAAATAGGAGCTGACGCTGACTAACAGGGGTGATGATAAGATTGCTTTATTTCTGCATTCCTGCATTAAATCTGTTCGCAGGGTTTAATTCTATTATTATCTTTTTGACAAGTTGTTTTGTTATAGTTAATGAAAGACAGAATGAAAGAAAAGTTCTCATTTGACCATATTTTTCAGTCTATAGGCATCTTAATGTAATGCCCATGGCATGATTTATGCATGTGATGCATTAAATAGTTTTAAATTAGTTTTTAAATATGCTTAAATGCATTAAATTGGGCTACAATATGACAATATGAAAGCTTTTTTGTCCTTGTATATGACATTTAAGATTTGGGACATGTGCAGTGGTCAGCACTGTCACCTCACAGCACGAAGGTCCCTGGTTCAAATCCCGGCTGGGCCAGTTGGCGTTTCTGTGTGGAGTTTGCATGTTCTCCCCCGTGTTGGCGTGGGCTTCCTCCGGGTGCTCTGGTTTCCCCCACAGTCCAAACACTTGCGCTATAGGGGAATTAAATGAACTAAATCGGCCATAGTGTGGGATTGTGTGTGTGTGAATGTGAGAGTGTTTCATAGTACTGGGTTGTGGCTGAAAGGGCAACCGTTACATAAAATATCTGCTAGAATATTTGGCGGTTTATTCCACTGTACAATTTGGATAAATTTACACATATGATGGAGGCCTGAATCTGATCAGAGTAAATTGCAATCTATAATTCGTACATGTTATGTGGGTCATATCCGATCTGTGCCACATGGGAGAACAAAAATTGGATTTGGCTCACGTGAACGATCCAGTGTAAATGCATCTGATCTCCACACACTGCATCTGCTCTGTCTAATTTCTGACTTCAAATGAAAGCATACTTTGCTCTAGTGTACTTACATGAGAAGAACTGCATGGTAAATAACAAGTGTTTCCACCATCGGTTTTGTAGAAGCTGCTAGAACGTGGACAGGAGAAAGATCGTAGTATCCTGTTTGAAATGAAGAGCGGTGAAGCTCCGCCCCCTCAGGTGCTAGAGCTCAGGCAGACCATCGAGCTCCTTCAGGAGAAACTCGAGGAGAGAGAAGGTGAGGATTTAGCATACACGTCACAAAACCAGTGAGATTGTATTTAAAGTACAAATTAATTCAAAACTATCCTTGTTGATTTTGTTAGCTCACATTGCTAGTTTTGTGGTGAACAACTCATCAGTGCATGTCATTAAGAAAGAAAAAATAGTTTGCCCTTAATTGAAGTCTGAAAATGCACTTCTGTCTGAGATATTGGGCGTGGCTAACATATTTAACCATGCCCCTCCAGCTGTCAGTTTTGACAACAAACAGAAATGGTGAGGAGGAGTCTGTTAGGCTGTAATAACTCTCCCAAAACCCTTTTCCCCATCTTTCTGAATGAAATGCCAACTTTACTACATCCAATCAGCTCGCAGTAGAGAAAACAAGCCACTCCCACTGTTTGCTCATTTAATATTCCATTTCTCTAGGAACTGTCTCACAATATGACAAAAAAACAAAAACAATCGCTGCTTCTGGTTCATGTGGACATTATATAACCAGCAATGTTTCATGCAAACCTTATTGAAGTAAATGCTTTCATTTTTGTGTGTGTAGCTGAGCTGAGCAGGCGAAACAGTGAGGAAATGCTGGATGTGGATGCAGTCACTAAGAAATCAGCAGTGCTTTTGAAGAGAGAGCTCTTACAGAAAACCGATGCTCTGAACGCAGCACTGAAGAGAGAAAACCAGCTTAAGGTATTTTAGGAAGTCGTGGATCTGTGTGTCTTCACTTGCAAAGCTTTTAGAGTAACTTGGTCTGTTTGGGACAGATTTCTCTTGCAGAGCTTCAGTCATCGCTTTCAGAACTGGAGGCACGTTTAGAAGGACAAACAGCAAATATTGAGTCTCTAACATCAACGCTCAATACTAAAGAAGAAATCATTACTGTAAGTATAAAACACACACATACATGTGCATGTACCTTTAAGTCGAAAAATTGATGATTTATAAGGGATAGTTCACCTAAAGCAGGGCTGTCCAAAGTCGGTCCTGGAGGGCTAGTGAACAGCTGACTTTAGCTCCAACTTGCTTCAACACACCTGCCTGGAAGTTTCTAGTATACCTAGTAAGAGCTTGATCAGGTATGTTTGATTAGGGTTGGAGCTGAACTCTCCAGGACAATGGCCCTCCAGGACCGAGTGTGGACACCACTGACCTAAATAATAAGAAAATCCTCACAGAATTTTCATTTTTATTTGTTTAAACCCCATTTGAGTTTTTTCTTTTTTCTCTTAAACACCAAAAAAACATTGACTTCCATAGTATTTGTTTTTCCTGTGGATGTCAATGGTTATCGGTTTTCAGCTTTCTTCAAAATATCTCCTTTTGTGTTTAACAGAAAAAAGAAGCTTATACAGGTTTGAAACCACTTGAGAGTGAGTAAATAGTGAGTAAACTTACATTTTTTTGGTGAAGTATCCCTTTAAATTGATTAAATGTGTCGCTAAATAGATTTGGTACTAAAGAAAATTGGGTTTCATCACTTAATATGTAGTGGCCGTACCTATTAGGTACGTGAATATTTGTATTATATTATTATTCATATTTATAAATCATGTTCTATTGCATAACACTTATGATGCTATTAAGGTGCCAGACAAGTCTTTTATTTCATAAATGTTTATAATGATAAACATGTGACATAGGGTGGAATTATTTGATGGATGTTTTTAAAAGGTATCACAAGAACAAATTTTAGGTTATCAAGTATTAAAGCGAATCATATTAAACTTATAATACACAGTTGTCAATTTTATTTATTTATTTCTAGTTTTATATATTTGTTTGTGTATCATCTCTTATTAAATATGAAGTTGGTCTTATCATTTAATGTTTTTATGTGTATTTATCTTGCCATAAAATACCTGTAAGTTGCTGATGTGACTAAATAAATAAGGAGTTTGTTTTTCCTCTAAATTAATAGTTTTTTTTTTTTTTTTACTATATATAAGGTTAAAATTAAACACAAAAAATGATAAAGTCCTGTTCTTTAATAGTCAAGCTTATTTATTTGATAAAGCCCTATATAAAACTTTAACTTTATAAAAAAAACTATATCCTGAAAGATATCATTACAGTGAAATAACCTTTCTCATGCTGTGAGATCCGCTGGCTTAGCATTGTTGCCTCGCAGCAAAAAGGTCGCTGGTTCGAGTCCCGACTGGGTCAGCTGGCATTTTTGTGAGGAGTTTGCATGTTCTCCCTATGTTGGCGTGGATTTTCCTCTGGGTGCTCCAGTATATTCCACAAGTCCAAACACATGAGCTATAGGGGAATTGGGTAAACTAAATTGGCCGTAGTGTACGAGTGCATTTTTGTGAATGTATGGGTGCTTCCCATTTCTGGGTTGCAGCTGGAAGGGCATCCGCTGAGTAAAACACATGCTGGATAAGTTGGCGGTTCATTCTGCTAATAAGGGACTGAGCTGAAGGGGAAAAATGAATGAATCTTATCAAATTTACGTGTTAATTTGTTTGTTGTTTTTAAATGTGTATATTAATTAACTCTTCAACTACCCCAACTAAGAAAAACATGTTTGGATTGCATGTCTTAACTCCTAATGTGACTAGTTAACACACTCAATGCATTTTTTTTCCAACACATCCCATAATTTCTAAAATAGTACCTTACACCAAGTGGTCCATATGTTGGTTTATGGTAAAAGTACCAGAATTAATACATATACTATGAAAAATCTTAAAATATGAATGTTTATTTTTTGAAGTATGCCATAAAATATTTCAGATTATCATTTAACATGCTTTCTTATTTTTTTACTATAAAACAAAAATCAAACGAAGTTGTGCAACAGGATTATGTTTGTTTGAATTGTTTTTTTTTTTTAATGAATTAATTAATTAAAAAAACACACACAATGCTGTGTGTGTAAACGATTATTTGAAGCAGTCATTCTTTAAAAGACTTTAACAGTCATTGTTTAAAGCAGTAAAAACATGGTCAACCGTTTGGTAGAGGGACAGTCAGGGTTAATGTTTTTGCCATGAAAATAGCTGTTGTTGATGATATATAGCACTTATTCATTGTTGCTCTTATAGTTGTGTAAGTTGCTTCCTTGTCCTCATTTTTAAGTCGCTTCGGATAAAAGCGTCTGCTAAATGACTAAATGTAAATGTAAATATAGCATTAAATAAACATGATAATGAGAAATATGATGATTAGAAAAGCTCTGAAATGAAGATGACTGATTTAGTAAGTGATTTTCTGCAGGAACTTCACCACCGTTTGTCTCAAAGAGGCGACAGTCGAGTTCCTCTAACCCGCGATCAAGCCTCACAGCTCGGAGAGAGTGAATACAGCCCCTCCTCTCTACCTCAGAGAGAAACAACCATCATCGGAGGAGATCGCCAGCAACTGGTACATGCACATACTAAAAGCTTTTCATGCATGCACTCCTTAAAGGGGACCTATTATGCAAAAATCACTTTTAAAAAGGGTTTAAACACAGTTGTGTGGCAATAGTGTGTGAATATAGCCAGCCTCTTATTGTAAAAACTAATTATTTCTGTGTTTTATAATCGCACTTCATTTAAACAGTCTGCAGAAACTCTTTGATTGACATTCTCCCTTTGTACGTGTCATCAGTGGCAGAAAGCCCCGCCCATTAGTGACTATCTCTCCCTCATTAGCATAAGACGTTAGTCTTGATTTTTGAATCTGCCACTATGCTGACACGCAAGCATTTATAGCTCCACCCTCTTTTAAAAAGAGCACAATCTCATTTGAATTTAAAGCGACAGTCACCAAATTAGGATCAAAGCCTAAAAGGGGCAGTTATAAAACATTATTTGTGTGGTATTTTGAGCTGAAACTTTTCCTTGCACGTTCTAGGGACACCAGAGACTTATCTTACATCTTGACAAAAGGGATCTCCTTTACGCTAATACACATTAAAATCTCCAACGCTCATTTCCTTCTCATTTTGTAGGATGTAGCATCTCTATCTGATCTGCGGAGTGAGCAGGCGGAGTTAAACCGAGCCCTGAGGGCTGAGCAACATCTATACTCCGACCTTATCAGAGCTGTGAAAGAGCGCGACAGGTGAGTGCAACACCTGAACGGTTGAATCACTTCTATTGAATGTACGTGCAATATAAAGACGCATTTGATCGTCTTGTTTCAGCGTGGAGAGGCTGCAGGTGCTGCAGTTAGAGCTCACAGCCGTGGCTCTCCTCAGACAGCAGCTAGAGAGCGGCGTCCAGATGAACTCCGAGCTCAGAGATCAGCTGCAGACAGAGATCCACAGAACCAAACAGAGAGAAGGTGTGGTACTGACAGAGAGCGCAGACAGCCAATCAGATCTCACGCTTTGAACAGGGAGTCGAAATCGTTGCGTTTGTCCTGCCTGCAAGTTTTTTTTGTCGTGGTCATTAGGCTTTTCGCTTGGTTCTTTTTCTTTTTAGCTGTGTCTGACAGAATACAAGCACATGTAGATTTGACATCATTCTCAATGTTCATCTCTCCTGTTTTTAAATAATATGCATTTCTCTTTCTTCTTGTATGCTTGTTTGTTCTGTCTTCTTTTGCTTTGCATGTTCTGACATTCTCGTCCATCTCCTTTTATCTGTCTGTTCATTCATTCATCTTTGATATGATCATCTATTCATAGATTAATATCTTTCTAATAAAGTGTTTTCAATGTCTGTGTGGCTCATCAACACTAATGAATTTAGCCCATCCTCCCTGTGCACACCTACATCTTCATGTCTGTCTGTCTGTGTAAACTTACAACTAAGAACTATTTCTATCTATCATCCTTCTCAACCTTCACATCACTCTCGTATACTCTCATACTGTATACTAAGTTCTTTGTTTATATTGGAGATCACTGGTCATACCGTGACAGTATCCAATCACACTGAATGCTGAAAATACACATAATTCTGTCCTTGCCTTGTCTCCATTTACCCATAATCCTCGTGTGTCCATCTGCTTTGTGGGAGACTTGCCATGGCAGTGTCCTCTTTACCCGTCATAAGATTTGATAAATACACAACTGCATACACAAATACACAACTGTGTCTTCCTGCAGTGTTCATATACAGTGCTCAGCATAAATTAATACACCCCATTTTGAAAATTAATATTTTCTTGTCCTAGAATGTTGAATATAGCCAATATATTTTGGTGCATATAATCAACAGTTTTATTACACTGTTATAGCCGGAAAAGTAAGACTTTGGTCTCCAAATATCTTTAGGAATATAAAAATAGTACATTTAAATTCAAATAGTTATTGCAATTTACAAAATTTCAACAAATTTTTATATTTTTATTTGTTTTTTTATTTTTCTGGTTCATATAAATGTTATTTAATATTTTCCTCCAACGTTAATTTGGGTGCACTAATGTACTGTGATATTACGTTTTTTATTAGATCAGTTGCAGTTTTGGTTTTGGTACTGATTAATCTAATGTCTAATGTATGTAGACCAAAATATTACTGTAGAAAATGTTATTTTAAAAGAAAGATCTGAGATTTATGCTGAGCTCTGTGTGCGTGCGCGTGCGTGCGTGCGTGAATGTATGTGTGTGTGTGTGTGTGTGTGTGTATGTGTATATATATATATGTATGTATGTATGTGTGTGTGTATATATATATATATATATATATATATATATATATATATATATATATATATATATATATTATAAGTATGTATACACACCAGGGTATGTGCATGGTTTTAAAATGTCTTAAATTTCAAAAACAAAATTTTAGGCCTTAATCTTACATTTACTAAAATATTGGGCTGTTGTCTTAAATAATTTTAAACCGCTCTGAATTTTCCTATGTTCATGTAAAGCTACCCAATCGAGCTGACAATAATCCTTCTCAATCACCATAAATCCTTCTCAAAACACACGCACACACACACACACACACACACACACACACACACACACACACACACACACACACACACACATATATATATATATAAATATATATAAGTTTTTAATTTTTTATTTTAGAGAGATACTGTTCGCAACAGCTGTTAGACAGTATTACTGATATTTTTACTGACAGTTCTGCAAATAAACTCCCTAATCAGGAAAAGAAAACTAAAACACATCCAAGATCATTTACATGATCTTCCATTAATACAAAAGCTATTTACAGAACTGGCTGGGCCATTAGAAAAAATCCTTAATGTTTAGCTCTGTATAAGTCTAACATTTCATTCATAATGGCCTTCAAAAGGTCTGACCCTGGACACACACACACATGGACACACTGACGTTTTAATCTGTATAAGATTAAGATTTAAATATTTCAGGTAGTTGCAAAGCCAACATTTCTAGTTCGTTTTCCATCTAATATTTATTTTTTGTTTTCTAAATAAAGTAAAATGTAATTAGTAATTTTTTTTAATAAATATGTTTTTATTAAATCTGAATATGATTTTTTTTTTTTTTTTTTTTTTAGTGTTTCATGTTTTTGTTTGTAAAAAAACATGCTACATCTTTAGGTCACACTTTATTTTGATGGTCCATTTGTTGGGTTTAGTTGCATTGCATCTACATGCTAACTAATTCTCATTGAATTATATTAGATTATAAGTAGACTGTTAGGGTTGGGGTTAGTGTAAGTTGACATTTACTTGGAAAGTTTCTTATAGTCCATTAGATGTGTGTTGAAGGAGCAATATCAATAGATATTAAGCAGACAGTCCACTAATACTCAAATGGACCATAAAAATAAAGTGTTACCAATCTTTATTTAGTAATTTTATTCCCCTTTTACTCCCCCTGCCAGATCTTGAATTTCTTTCAGTTAATTTTTTTGTACTTTTGTCATCTTACAAAACAGAAAAAAGCACCTGATTAACCTCACTCCCAGCTATATCATGCTATTACTCTTTTAGTTTTAATACACATAGTATTATTGTGCATTAATTAAATATTAATTTGTAAAGCACATGCCTTATTCTATGCATTTTTGTTTTATACAGCTCTGCACAATCTATCTAAGAATGCCAAAACTATGACAGGCACATATAAGATTATTGCCAGATCCTCATTATCCTTCCTTTTATCTTCTAAGTTCTTGTTTAGTTTTTCCTTATAAAGACCGTGTGAAATCTAAATTTGCAATGTTTATTAACACATTGTTATTCTTATTCATTCTGATTGTAATCCATTAAAAAAAAATGTTTTGTTCTGGTAATCTTTAATCAAAGTCTGACCATTTGCTTCCGCTTTTGGAGTGGCCCTCCTTTCTGATGATGTCATTTGGTGGCTTCTGACACGATTTTGTTTTAACCACGCCTCTCTGACTATAAGTTTGCTACAAGGGAATGATCTGCAAAAATAAAGCCCTGCCCCTAATGAATATTCAGTTTCAGTTGGAAGTACATCAACATTCATTCATTTATTCATTAATGCATTCGTTTCCCATTTAACCCAGGGACTAACCCTGATTTATCAGGGGTCGTACATCAACATACTGAAATAAAAGTCTTAACAACTTCCAGTTCTTGCAGACTTTAAATATTAAAATGTTAAGATACAGCAGTGAAAATTGTTTATATACAGAGTGTAAAAGTATGTGTTTGCAGTTTTACTAACCCGCTGCCTATACGGTTGTGTGCAGGTTCAAACCCTTCAGAGTTACAGACCCTGCGTGATGCACTGGAGGAGGCTCAGCGCTGGAACGTCTCTCTGCAAGCCCGACTGGGACAAATCCAGAATCGGGGAGGTGGTGTTGGACAGGCCAATGATTCTGGTACTTAAATCTAAATACTGTAGATAAATGAGATATTTCAGAGTGCTGTTTATAAGAGCTATTTAATCTGATGATTTTAGTGGACACACTGAGCATGATTGGCGATCAGACATCCTATATGAGTATCTGTGTAGGGGAGGGGCCAGAGGAGGAGCTTCTGCACATGACTGTAGATCAGCTCAGGTTAAAGGTGAGTACCTAATCACTAAGAGCTTTATCAAGCAAAATGTATTTATTTAAAGGGAAAGTTTAACCCAACCTGAAAATACATTATTTACTCACCCTTGCAAACCTGTTTGAGTTTCTCTCTTCTCTTGAACACAAAAGAAGATATATTGAAGAAAGCTCCTAACCTGTAAACTATAACTTCCATAGTATTTGTTACTACTATGAATTAGGGCTGGGCGATTTTTTTTTTTTTTTTTTTTGTTATTTTTTTCGATTAATTCGAATTTACATTTTGACGACGCTTTAATTTTATATTAAATCGAGAAATCGCAATTTTTAAAAATGTATATATTTAATACATTATAATGGCACCAATGCGCTTTGGTTCACTCTCTGTATGAAGCAGGAAGCACACCAGAAGCGTCTCTCGGCGACGTGCCGCGCAGCACCACTCACCCATGGATTTTAGAATTCTAAACAGGTTTCTATACACACACCAGCGCCGCCCAGCCACGATTCACGACGCAATTCATATTTCATCCGCGCCACAGAGCGCCATCTGATTAGTTTCATGTTAAACATCATGCAAATGTGCGCGTTTGGTGTGTGATAGGTTAAACTCTCATGTGTGCGCCGTGTCGCTGCGCTTCTAGTGTGCGACCTGCTTGACTGCCTGTTAAAGCGTGAAGTCATGTAGGATTTTACTTGTTGCATTAGTCTGAGTCACGTCTGTGTGGATTGTCAAGACATATTCCCTTATCAAGTCGATAAACTCGATCTCAACATGTATGAAGTACTTAAAACCCTGCCATGTAAAAGAACACGAGTAGAGGTGAGGGCCTGTAGCAGTGAAAATGAAAGTCCCCGCCCCTATGACGTCATTTAGCGGACCTAGTTGAAAACCAGACAGAACAGGCAGCATAATACAGAGAGTGGAGCAAAGCGCATCAAATGATCGGTATTTAAAAGGGGGAAAAAAGACAAATAGATTTAATATTTTATTTTATATTAGACACACATCTGGTGCTTGTATTTGCTCCTGCTATACATCCACAACTTCACTCATTGGGTTAAATTAGGCTTTACAGTTTCCATGTTCAGTCCTTTTCTTCCACTGTATCTTTTTAAGAAAAAGGCAGCAGCAATACAACCTGTCATGCAATCAGAAGAAGACAAAGTCGAAGCCCAGCTGACAGCCAATCTTTTCTAGACTCAGCAAAACTTGCAAAAATACCTCTGAATTCCTGCAACTGCAATATTTACACAAATATTTCTTATTCAAATCTTTAGCAACGCTATTTAACTTGTGAATTTGTTTTACATTTATTTACACCTTGACCGATTTATGTATGGCATGGCCATAAAAAATACAATGTTCCTTAACCAGATGGTTTTTCAAGCTACTTTTAAAGAGAGTGTTACTTCAGTCATGTAGTTGTAATGTTTTCAGAAGACTAGTAAGACAATAAAAAAAAAATCGAAATCGTTAATCGGTCAAACTTTATACAAAACCTAGATTTTTTATTTTTTTTTGCCAAATCGCCCAGCCCTACTATGGATTATGGGTTTCTTCAAAATATTTTCTTTAGTGAAGAAAAAAACTCAAAGGTTTTTAACCACTCGAAGATTAGTAAACGGTAAATAAATGTTAATTTTTTAGAAAATTTTTACTATTAATTTAAACTGCATTTTAACCTAATTTTCAGGTTTTAGAGCTTGAGGCAGTAAATGCTGAATTACAGAAGAAGCTGGTTCTGTTGGAGAAAGACACTGTGGGAAATGCTCCAATAGGCTCTCACTCTCAGAAAGAACCAGATCTTATCGACCTCTCAACTCCTACCAAGGTATTACAGTTTACAAGTTCAGGAGCATGTTTTAGATTCCATTAGGATAATAAATTTTCCAAAAAACACATTACTTGTCTTTACTAAACACTGTTGCTGCAGCTCTTTTCACACTCTTTCTAAAATGCTCAGATTTAGTTTCTGTCTGTTTATAACCTGCTTTTCCAAAAAGCCTAGTGTGTTCTGGCCAATCAGCTTTCTTTTTTATTGGTCAAACACTTCGCTGCTACCTGTTATTTGGATGATAAAAAATGTGAAATTTCTAGGAATGTTCTAATACACTTTTAATTTTCCCAATACCGATTCCAAATACCTGGGCTCAGTGCATCTGCCGATGCAGAGTACTGAACGGATACCTGAGTGTGTATCTTTAGAAAGAGTTGTGTATATTATTAGGCCTATATTAACTGGCAAAAAAATTACAGTGTGCTTCAGACTTATCCTTTTATAACATATGAACAAATACATACAGTGAACTGGAGTATTTTTATTATCTGACATTTTTTTATGAGACACTCAGCAGTAATATTATTTAGTGTACTTTATTGAAACAAGTTCAGCCACAAATCAAACACCATAAATTGAAAAAAAAATATTGCAGTAAAAAAAAAAAATTATATATATATATATATATATATATATATATATATATATATATATATATATATATATATATATATATATATGAATAATTTAGAAAAATGAAACTAAATATAGAAACTAAAATTCAGGATCATTTTTAAATAAAATAAGCACTTCAGCTTTTACATTTTTACAAGTGCAACAATACCAATACTCGATCTAAATACAGTATCTGACAGAAGTCTTGTCATCAATCCCAGTTGTAAGAGCAGCAAATCACTTGACTTGACTTGACTTCTAGTTGATCATTTGGAAAATTGGCAGAAGGTAGATTTTTCTGATGAATCATCTGTTGAACTGCATCCCAGTCATCACAAATACTGTAGAAGACCTACTGGAACCTGCATAGACCCAAGATTCTCACAAAAATCAGCAACCCTACCAATGTCTTCCTTCCTTTTAACCTCTTGACCTTTAACCTCAAACCTTCCAACTCTGTGCATTCATGTTTCTTTTATGATTGACTCTGTCCCTGTAGTTGAGTTTATATTATACTAACTTTAGCTGTAGGTTACAGTTGTTTCTGTAACACGTTTGTCTGCTGAATGAGTGTTTGCGCATGTGTCTGTGTTTTTCTTTTTCTCCCTCTATTTCTCTTTATCTCTCTCTTCCATCCTCGCTAACCCCTGTTATCTCCTCTCTCTGTCTTTCTGACTTATTTTCTTACCCATGATCACCTGCAGCCGCCCCATCCTACCGTTATAGTGTACTTTCTGTGTATTCTGTTCCATTATGGCATTTTGTGTTAAGTCATGTGTCACCAAACATCCCATTACTGTAGCAGCCACAGAGACAGCAGAAACCTACTTCTGAAGAAGGCGCGTCGCTACTGGCTTCAAACGTAAAGGTAAGACAAGTTTATGTTAATAGATCGGTCAGTTTTGTAGGTCACACAGTCTTCCTGCATTTTTTGCTATTACAGCGCTGAATTGATTATAAATCTGCGGATTTCTGTGGAATGATTTTGAGCGTATAATAACTAAAAACTTTCACGATTTACAATGCAAATCCAATGAGACCCATTTTCTTGGTAAACAAAGCAAATCTCTCATTTAATATATCTAATAAAAAACTTTATTACTTTATTAAAAGATATTCTTACTTTACAAACTGTATTGTACATAAATCATATGCAGATTATTCAATAATAATACTGAAATTAATATAAAAACTGATTAAATATACACTCACCGGCTACTTTATTAGGTACACTTTACTAGGGTCCAAAGTGTGCCAAGAAAATATTCCCCACACCATTACACCACCACTAGCAGCCTGAACCATTGATACAAGGCAGGATGGATTCGCGCTTTCATGTTGTTGATACCAAATTCTCATTCTACCATCCGAATGTCGCAGCAGAAATTGAGACTCAACAAACCAGGCAACATTTTTCCAATCTTCTATTGTCCAATTTTGGTGATCCTGTGTGAATCGTAGCCTCAGTTTCCTGTTCTTAGCTGTCAGGAGCGGCACTCGGTGTGGTCTTCTGCTGGTGTAGACGTGTTGTGCATTCAGAGATGCTCTTCTGCAGACCTCGTTTGTAGCGAGTGGTTATTTGAGTTACTGTTGCCTTTTAATCAGCTCAGACCAGCCCGTCTTTGACCAACAAGCATGCCACGTTCAAAGTCACTTAAGTCACCTTTTCTTCCCAATTCTGATGCAGTGTTTGAACTGCAGCTGATCGTCTTGACCATGTCTACATGCCTAAATGCATTGAGTTGCTGCCATGCGATTGGCTGATTAGAAATTTGTGTTAACGTGCGGTTGGACAGCTGTACCTAATAAAGTGGCCGTGTATATTTACACACTTGTATTGGTAAATAGACTCAGTGATGGCCAAAAAAAAACATCCACTAAAGGCCAATTTATACTTTTGTGTCGAGTGCGGGTAGTAGATCCAGCAGTGCTTTTGCACAGTCCCATACACTTTGTCATACCCTGATGCGCACCTCTAAAAAAAATGTGACTTGCATAGCGCAAGAACTATGATTGGTCAGCTTGGTAGCAGTGATGAATGTGGGCTAAAAAAGAAAAACTCTTTGGTATAAGTGTTAAGATGTGTTGAATTCAGTGGAGGAACCTCAAATGGTTCATTTTGTTTTGTGATTTACTTAAAATTTAAAGATGTTGCGCGCTCTCAGATTCTTGACTCTTTCTTGAATGGGTGAGTTTGAGCTACTTTCATACACCTCATTTCCGGTGTACACTCAAAACACCTGCAAAGAAACTCAACACAGGGGAACATAGAGACCCCACTGCCTGCTAATGTTTCAGGTGTGTTTTTACTAAGCAACACGTAAAGAACGCAGGAAAAAATTTGCACATGAAAGTTATGTACTGTGGGGTGCTGCGATCACTCGATGCAGAAGTGTAAATTAGGCTTAAGGCTGCATGGTTTGTCTATAATTGGTCTATAGGATGTTTGCTGCTGGATATTCTGTTGCCCTAAAAATAATAAAATAGTATTTGACAACAAATTAACAACAACAACAACAACATCATGCCTAGCGCTAGTTTCTGCTTTATTTATAGAAAGCTCTTTTTTTATATATATATATATATTTACTGTTGACCCATCTGTTGTTGATCCCTAAGGAGAGATGTGAGGATGGAGATCGTTCTTCAAAGGATAGGGTTAAAATGAATCAGCCATCACAGATGCAGAAACAGCTAAGTGCAGTACAGCCCACATCCAAATTCCCAGGTGATGAATCTGAAAAGGCAGAACTCAAATCCCTGCTCTCAGATTGTGGGGCGGAATCAGTCTCTCAACTCAGGTATAAGATTATTAGTTAATTGTATTGTGATTTTTATAGTTTTAAATTTTATAAATGACCATATAAGTTGCTGAAATCTGTAGAGAACAAGTGGCCAAACTGCGCTCAGAAGCGTCTGAACTCCGTGGACTTCTGAAGGAGGAAAACGCCACAGAGTCTAAAGAAAGTGCAGAAAGTTCTGGAGAAAGCGATAGCCATGGAGACTTGCACCACACAGTGAAGGTGCTTCGCTCTGAAGCCAGAAGTCACCGGAAGATTATACGATTCCTAAAAGAGCAGCTGGAACGTAACTCAGATGGCGTAACTCAACTTGACACCAAGGTAATGGTCAGCATGGCCGGCAACGTGGAACAACTGCAGACACAACATGAAGAATCACAGAGACATGCCAGTACCCTAGAGAAAAAACAAAGGGAAGGGACAGAGATGGAGGATAAGGATGAGAGAAGAAGACATGTTCGAAGTACCAAACCCAGCAAGAGTCAGAAGCAGAACATGGCCAGACACGCTGTGAGTATCACTCATTAAACTTCCACTTGTTCTGGGTGTGGTGTGGCATTATGGTTTGAAAAATAAAAGGTTGTTGGTTTCAGACCAAATGTGAACTTTACAAAGGCCTACACTAAGAGCCTACTCACACTATGCTATCCCAACCGGGCCCGTTTCCTGGATAGTTTGAGAATTGTGAGTGCGCTGAATCAAGCTCTAGGCGCAGTACGCTTGTGTGTGAGTGCAAAACGTGCCTAATCCCGAAACTGAAAGCGAGACGTGACTTTTAAGGGACCATTTCATATGAATTTATAATCATTCACTGTTAAGTGAACGCAAACTGTCGCAGTTTATTAAAGACGCAAACCCCTCACTGCATGACAGCTGCACACCTTCAGCAAACCTCCTAATTCTTGCAGCACGAAGACTTTATGACTGTTTATGAGCGTCAAAAGTGGGCGAAATATTCGACTGCGTGTCAAACGACTTAAACGATATAACTAGAGAAATCTCCACTGTGTTGAGCGAGAGCACAGCCCAGCATCGATGACGTAATCGTACCCAGGCCCGAATGTAATGTGAGTGCGGGCCGTCGGGGGAGACGGGAGGGGGACAAGCATGCTTTGGCACGGTTCATCGAAACTGTACATAGTGTGAGTACGCCCTAAGAGTTCTCTGAACAATACAAATAAAATTAACTAAGTTAGCGATGTTCAAGAGCTCAAAATGTGCATTGAACATGCAAACTTTAATTGCCAATCTAAAGCATTATCGAGTATGCCACATCACCAATTTTTCCTACTTACAATGTGGAGATGCTTCCAATGCTTCACTGATTTTTTTTCCATTTGTTTCAAAAGATCTGATCAGTAAAATAATGTTGTTTGTATTAGGCATATGTGAAATCTCGGCTACCAGTACCTGTGAGGTCCAGTAGGAGTACCGGACAGAGTTCTGAAGATCTGAGTGAAGTAAATTCAGACCACATTCAACCCAAGAGAAAAGACCACCAGACTGGGGCAGAAGAGTCTGATTATAGCACTGACAGTAAGATGTCCTCAAGATCATCTCAGAAGGGACACCTCGAATTAGACCAGGTTAAAGATGCTCGGCTTAGTCCAACCAGTGGAACAAAACAAGACAATTACACGGATGATTATCTTGAATCCGAGCTCATGGCACAGTTAGAGTTGTTGAATCAAGAATGCCAAGAGAAGGAGGAGCTAATCTCTCACCTGAAGCAACAAGTTCAGGAATTGGATGAACTGCAGGTAGAACTACAGAAGAAGGACAAGCTCAACCGAGAGTACCTGGAAGCCCTGCAAGCAGCAGAATCCACTATTGCATACCTTACCGCTTGTAGCTTGGACTCAGAGTGTGGAATTGGTCAAACAGGAGATGTAACATTGCAACAACGCTGTGCAGAACTGCAAAAGGCCATCGAGGAGAAAGACAGAGTCAATACTCAGCTCTTGGAGTGCTTAAACACCGCAGAGTCTGCCATTGCATCACTCCAAAATGTGGACACAACAACCAGACAAATGGACCAAGGGCAGGCAGATCCAAAGGTACTCTGTGAGAGGCTTGAGGGCTTGATTATACAGGTCAAAACTTCCCAGCAGAATATAGATGGGACAAAAGACCTTCAAAGACTAGACATTGAGACAAAGCTTGGTTTGAATTCTGACCTGCGGCAACAAGTGGACGCACTACAGGAGTCAGTGTTGCAGCAGTGCAAGCTGAACTCAGAACTACAGGAGAAACTCTGGATTTCAGAAGCAGCCTTTAAAAAGTTGAGTTCAACTAAAAACGGTGCACCCACAGATCTGGAAGGGAACTTGACTCCAGGACCGCAGGAAGGAAAGGTCCAGTCAAGGCAACAGTTAACTGACTGCCTGTCTAAGTGCATTACAGCTGCTGAAGGTGCAGTACAGTCCCTTGCAGATGTTTGCTCAAAATCAAACCAGTCTCATATGGAGAACTTGTCCAGTACAGAGTTGCAGCAGTGGCTAGAGATGCTGCGGTGTGCCTTGTTGGACAGAGAGATGTTGGAGGATCCAGATTGCATCGAGAAACACCACCACAAGACAAGCACACCAATTCAAAACTCGGAGAGCTCTAAATCACAGCAGCAAAGTAACATTCTGGACTCTAACACGCACCAGAATCTTCATAAGAACCTCTTGATGCTTCTTCAGATTCATACTGAGCATGCTCAAAAAATGGCCAAACTTGAGAAAGATCTTAGCAGGTGTGGTCAAAATGCAGGTGGTGGAGATGCACCTGGAACTGAAAATCTGGAGAGAAACGCCCAGATTGAAAGTTTGCAGAAAGCCCTGAAGGAGAGGCAGAGAGCCTGTCAGAAATTAGAGGAGAAACTGGCGCTCGCACAGTCGGTCATTGCTGTGCACAATGCCTCAAACAAGGATAAACACTCTGATCAGAACAAAGGTGAGGACAACACACATTCATTTAAGAGTCACATTCATTTAAAAGCAACTCGATCTAGATGTTTTAATGCAGTGGTTTCCAAACATGACCCCCAAAACAACAATTCCAGTGACTCACAACCCCCAATATTCTCTAAGGTGGTTATAAATATATAAACCTAGCACACAACGATGCACACATACCAATAGGCCCAAGTCTATTCATAGTTTAATTTTGGAGAACGCCAATCAGAGACCATCCTCCATGTTTAGTTGTGGCCTGTATTTATTTTTAATATACGTGAGTGCCAAAAAAGGTGTTAAAGTTTAACCGGGTGCTATAAAAATCTACTAATTTTTACTAAATCTACTAAGACAGAATCTACTGCATCCGTCTTTAATATAACATAATCACCTCAGGGGTCGCACATTTATTTTTTAAGTCTGATTGCTTTTTATTTGCAATTTTTATGTAACTATTCAATTTTTTTCTTCTGTAGGCTAATTCTACTACTTTAATAAAATTAATTAGATTATTGGAAATCACTAAATGACCCCCCCCCCTCCTTTATCACTGACCCGCGTCCCCCCGGGGGGTCCCACGCCCCACTTTGGGAACCACAGTTTTAATAAACATCTTCTTTGTATAAGGTATCCATATACCTTTGTTTGAACATTATATCCCCTCAGCATTTACGTGGGGGCTTTTAAAAATGTTTTTATTTTGTTTTCTGTTTTACATTGAAATACAGCCTGTTACATTAATACACTTTTTTTTTTCAAATTTCTAGACAACCATAGGATTGCTGAATTTACTAAATAAACTAATTGAAAGGATATATAATAACAGAGAAAAACAAAACAAAAATGCTCCTCCTGTTTCAGTTAAAGGCAGGGGTTTTCCTTGCTTAATATGAGGCTGAGGTTTTATCCAATAATGAACATATTCCTACTTGAAACAAACACCTTTTGCAATATATCTGTATTCGGTTACGTAAAATATTGCCTAATATTAAGTGTAATTAAATACATGACCAGCTTCCTCTGTAGGTTGCCATCACTGCCTCTTGATTTTTTTAAGGCCAAAGGTGGTACAAAATTTGTAAACCCTGGTTAAAGGGATAGTTTACTCAGAAATGTATATTTACTCACTATTTACTCTCTCTCAAGTGGTTAACTGTACCCAAAAAAAAAAAAAAAAAATTACTAATACTTTCCTTCTTAGACTTTACAGACCTGAAACTTGCCTATAGCACTTATTCATTGTTGCTCTTATAGTTGTGTAAATTGCTTCCTTGTCCTCATTTGTAAGTCGCTTTGGATAAAAGCGTCTGCTAAATGTAAATGTTCCAAAACTTTTGTTTTTTTGGGTTAACTATCCTTTACTTGACTTTTATATTCAAACTCAATGCAAACTTTGTATGAAAAAGTTTATCAATCTGGAATTGCAAGTTTGGAACTGCATTGTCCACAAACAATTATTCATCCACATCCACTTCTGTAGCAGCCACAGCCATATCACCCTTCAGCCTAAGACTGGTTACTCGCTGAAGCTAAGCGGGGCTGAGCCTGGTCAGTACCTGAATGGGAGACCACATGGGAAAACTAGGTTGCTGTTGGAAGTGTTGTTAATGACGCAGGCAGGGGGCGCTCATCCTGCGGTCTGTGTGAATTCTTATGCCCCAGTATAGTGAAGAGGACAATGTACTGTCAGTGGGCGCCGTTTTTCGGATGAGACATTAAACCGAGGTCCTGACTCTCTGTGGTCAATAAAAATCCCATGGCATATCTGGTAAAGAGTAGAGGTGTTACCCTGGTGTCCTGGCCAAATTCTCTCCATCGGCCCTTACGATCATGGCCTCCCAATCATCCCCATCCACCAAATTGGCTGTATCACTGTCTCTTCACTCCACCTATAGCTGGTGTAGTGAGCGCACTGGCGCCGTTGTCCTGTGGCTGCCGTTGCATCATCCAAGTGAATACTGCACATTGGTGGTGGTGTGGAGAGACCCCCCTCATGATTGTAAAGCGCTTTGGGTGTATGACCATACTCGATAAATGTGCTTTATGAATATACATTACTTCTTCCTCTGGTAAAATTGCGATCAAATTTTAATCAGTGCTGATCTAGAATCAGCTATGCTTTATCATAAGGATCTGGGACAGCATGAAGCCCTGTGAAGGCTGACATGTTTTAAATATACTTAAAACTATAAACAAGTTTCCTTTTTGAGTATATTGTGTGATATATCAGACCTTTGTGTCTCATATAATTTGATATAGTCAGAAAATGAAGCTTGTGGCTAAGGAGGAAGGTTTAGAGGCCCAAACTGAGTATAATATTTTGTAACGCTGCTGATATTAACCAAAAAGTAAAGATAAATTCTGATGCTTTTAGGTCAATAAAAAAGGCTGTTTGTGTAAAATGCATTTAAATATCAGTTGTTGCTGCTCATTTGTCTGTCCGGGGCTGCTATTCTCAACTCTGTGTGTGCTTTAGCGCCCCCTGGTGAACGGGATGATAAAGGGGTGCAGGTGGAGGCGCAGGACCTCGGGTACGAAACGAGTGGAAGGAGTGAGACGGAGGTGGAGGGCAGTAGCACAGGTAGACAGGGGGAAACGCTTTGTTTTAACGAGTGCATGACAGGGTTTCTGCATGGAAAGACCACTTCAGATCTGCACTGAGGATTCATGCTTTGCTCTTACTGACTGCATGCTCATAATGAACACTGGTGATCACTTTTAGAGATGGTGACTTAACACTTTGGGTATTTAAAATTGAAGCCAAAATGTAAAATATTGTCATTTTTTGATAACCCCTTTGATTATTGGGTTGTTTTTATTTAACGGCTTTATGTTGGACTATCAAAGAATGTTAAAGGGATCATTCACCCAAAAAATGAAATTTCTGTCATTATTTACTCGCCCTTCACTTGTTTAAAACCTGTTTGAGTGTCTTTATTCTCTTAAAAAATATATATAAATTTTGGAAAATGTTAAAAACCATTAACTTTTATCGTAGGAAAACAAAATAACTATGGAAGTCAATGGTTACGGGTTTTTAGGTGTATCTTTGTTTGTGTTCAACTTATTTATTTTTGGGTGGACTATCCGTTTAACTTATTTTGATCCATCCATCCATATATAATCATTCAATCATTTATTTCCATATATCCATTCATGTATATCCATCTCCATCCATCCATATATATTCATTCATTCATCTCCGTATATCATCTATATATCCATCTATTTATTCTTTCATCTCTCTCTCTCTCTCTCTCTCTCTTTATATATATATATATAGCCATCCATCTCCATATCCATCCATCTCCATATCATCCCTCCATTTCCATATATATTAATCCACCCATCTCCATATATCCATCTATCTCCATATATATCTATCCATCATCTCCATATATCCATCTATCCTTCTCCATATATTCATCCATCTATCCATTCATCCATTTTCATATCTAAATCAATCCTTCTATATATTCATCCATTCCTCTCTATATATGCTCATCCATCCATATATATGTCAATCCATCCATCTGTACACATATATACATCCATCCATATATATCCTTCAATCCCTTTATCCATCCATATATATATATATATATATATACTGTATGTGTGTGTGTGTGTGTGTGTGTGTGTATATATATATATATATACTGTATGTATATATATATATATATATATATATATATATATATATATATATATATATATATATATATATATATATATATATATATTAATCCTACATATAACATTTAGCCATCCATCTCCATCTATACATATAAATATTTCCAGTTTTTATTAGTATAAAGTATAGGTATACATGCAATTATATCATATACTCAAAGAAACATGGACAAAAGTAAGTAAATAATGACAGAATTTTAAATTTGAGGTGCTCTTATTCCTTACCCTTGCTTAATTGTTTTATAATGTGTGCTTTAACATGGCATCCATTACTTTTTCTGCATGACCAAATCATGTTTCATAATCACTAATGTGGCATCTTGCCCTGAGAATTGCCATCTTCTTTCTCCATTGTTTTGTGTTAATTATTTATTTATCAACCCTTGTGTATTGTTCAAATTGACTACCCTTTTATTATGTTAGTGGCTATTTTTGTCCCATTGACTTCTATTATCTTGACATTTATTTGATTGCAAAGCCATGACTGCAAATTATCATGCACTCTTTATTGTTGGTGGTTTTCCCTGTTGGGAAGAGTTCAAATTTGTCATTTTCATGGCTTGCCATCAAAAATGTCATTATAATGGAGGTCAGTTGGGCAAAACCAGCCACCAACTTAACAAAGGTATTGTAAATTTGCCAAGAGTGTGTTGAATTTGCGAAATATTTCAAAGCATTTTCCCAAAATACGTGACAAATAAGTTGTATAACCAAAAATGATTCCACTTGCTGAAACACAGAGAAAGTTGTGGCCAAATTAAAACTCACAATCACCCCAGAATGAATGAAAACATCCTTAACATCACACAAGGGTTAATTAAGTAAATCTGCCCATTTGTCTTTCTCTATTTGTTCAGATGTGGACGGTGTTTTGCGGTTGGTTCCTGCTCTCTCTCCAGTCCTCTCAGGCCCTCAGGACAGGTTTTCTCCAGATATGAGCACCACCTCCAGCCCCTCGTACCCCTCGTCTCCTGGCCTAAGCTCTCCTCGGCCCTCTGAACCACACGCTGACTCCAACATGCACATTCAGCAGCTCCGGTCGCAGATCGAAGGACAGCACAGAGTCATCCAGCACCTGCAGAGACAGCTGAGGAAGAAGTCTTTATCATCTGAGCTGCTGAGTGTGACTTCTGACCTTACAGCAGGCGAAGAAGAGGAAACCAAGATGATGAAGGCTCAGATCGCCCAGCTGAACACTGAGCTGGAGAGAGAAAGAAGCCTGAACAGAAGCAGCCAACCAGGCTCTCCTTCCAGGTATCATCAACATTTATACTTTAAATTATATCTGATTTACACTGCAAAAAAAAGTTTTCCTACATAGAGTTTGTGTCTTTTTTCTAGTCTAAATATCTAAAACAAAATCTTATATCAAGAAGTAAAAAATTGTAATGTTTTCAGAAATAGGTCATTTAAAATTAAATTAGTTTTTCTGTAACTTTACTTGAAGGGGGTGATCATAAGACTGTCATGAAACTATACATGTTATGCGATTTTGTGCATGCTTATGACAATTGTTGTTAAGTGTCATTTGCTCAGTTTTGTAGTTTTAAGTGCAAAGATGACATTGTTTGTTATGACAACTTGTCATAAACAAGTCACCATAGCTTGTCATAAATCTGTCATAAACATGATCGTCATGAGGTCTTTATAATTATTGTGAATATTTTTCTGATCACTTTTTGAGTGGAACAAACTGTTTTTGTTATTCAAATGTCTCGTTAAAAGTGTCTGTATTACTCTATCAAAATTTTTTTAGCAGCGTTATTAATATATTGCATATTAATGACAAATTCAGCTTGTAATACTGTAGTTGAGGTCAAAAAGAATGATGCAGTTATAAAATTCATTACATATTAATGACCCAGTCATGTTTATGACAGATTTATGACAAGTTTTGTCTTGGTAATGTGGAAAAAAAACAGGTTGTGATTTATTTGTTTGTCAGGTTGTCATAACAAACAATGACATCTTTGAATTTAGAATGTCATAACTGAATAAATGACACTTAATGACAAATGTAATAAGCATGCATAAAATCTCATTCACATTCCTGTCATGTCATGATTATAGAGGATTCTTGACAGTCTTATGAACACCCCTTCAAGTAAAATGTTACCAGTTTGTCCTTAAAAGAAGCTAAATAATCTGCCAATGCGTTAAGTAAAATAAACTTATTTCAGACCGAAAACAAGAGTATTTTTACTTGCTACACTGGCAGATTATTGTGTTTATTTAAAAAAAAAAACTTAAATTTGACTTTTATCTGAAAACAAAACAAAAGGCAATTTTGTTTAGAAATTTACTCTTGATTTTAAGGATATTTTGTTATTTTTAAAAACAAGACAAACCAAGAAAAACATTTTTTGCAAAGTATTAATAATGCACACAATCTAACTGTATTAATTTGTTTTGCTGAACAAAGAAGATTTTATCTTTATTATTACACTCTCAAAAAAAAGTACAAAATCTGTGACTGGGGCAGTAACTTTTCAAAAGGTACATTTTTGTTCTTAACATGTCTAAGTACAGGTCTTAGCACCTTAAAGTACTTTAAAGTTACAAAAGTGAACCTTACAGGTACAAAAGTCTACCCTAAAGATACTAATGCCCACCTGTATGGTACAAAAGTTTACCTTTTGAAAAGGTACCACCACAGTGACAGATTTTGTATCTTTAATTTTTGAGTGTGTATTATTTTTATTATTTCAGTCCCTCTAAAATTTTGGAATTCCACAATCAGAATTAGACTCAAAATCAAACAAATGGCAAAACATTGTTGTAAATTTATAATATTTTCAAAACATTATAGCAGACAACTTACCTGAAATGCATATTTATGCTCTAAATAACCCAATAATTTGGTTTTGGCTATAATATTAAAAACATAGAACAAGGGTTTCAAAATCAAATTGGCAGGGGGCCATATCACTGACTGATAAGTCATAGGAGGGTCATTTTAACATTCAAGCACACGAAAAAAAAGTGCAAACCTGATGTAATTGATTACATCTTTTTGCATTTTATTGTACATGGGGTAGTTTAAATTGCTTTTAAAATACTACAATTTAATAATAGGCATAATAATAATAATTATTCTGTCCCAATCAATTGTTGCTTTACCAAAGGTTTAACAGATAGCTTAAGATAGCAGAAAGCAGTTTGAGTAACTTTAGTGACTTTACTGACAATTGTTCTTTTCAAAATATTTTTTTTTGTGTAAAACTACAACAAACATTTACTTCAACATTTTCATTTCAGCCAGCAGTCAAATTTTAATAATGCAAATTTTTATACAATTCTTATTCTACATATGAGGAAAATCTAATAGTGAGACCATTTGAATTGAATATTAGCAAAATGATCATATTTGCACCACCAGCCTAACGTGTAAGCCATAAGGAGTTGTTTGTATAACTGATTATATTCAAACGACTCTTTAATATTGACAAAAATAGAGATTAGTAAAAATAGGCCGCAAAATGGGCGTCAGTTTAAAAGCTAACTTTTTAAAACGTTTTTATTTTATTTTATTATTATTATTATTATTTTTTATCATTTTGATATCTTTATGAAAGGGTTGAAGATGGATGGATTTTTAAAAATATATATATTAAATTTGAAGTTTACTTCACTATTTTGTTTTCTTTATGAAAAATACAGAGCTTAATGCTATTGAAGTAAAAAAAAATTATCTCAGTTAAAAATATTTTTGTATGAGTATTTTCATTGCAAAACAATGTGAAATGTTGCAATTATTTCGCTGATTTTGAAAAAAACTAAATCAGTAACTTTAGGCTTCAAAAATGAAAAATAAATATTCTGTGTAATCCTAAAAGAACATGGCTAACCAAACTATTTTTGGGTTACTTTTTTTTCTTTTGGTTTACTTTTATACTTCTTTTCTGAGGAAGTTATGTGGAGACTGGCAAATATTGTTTTTTTTTATTTTCATCTGAAAAAAAGAAACTCTTACAGGTTTGATTTTTAGATGCGATCAACTTACTGATTGAATCAACAGATCAACTTATTGCACAATGTTTCCTGTGTTTTAAATGTCATTTCCCTGTGTGCAGAATTGAGTCTCTGGTGCAGTCTCAGGCGCGTGAGCTGTGTGAGCTTCGGGAGCAGATCCGCGTATCTCGTGGTTTGGGTCTGGAACAGCGGAAACAGTTGCTGGAGCTCAGAGGGGCTCTGGAGGACTTACTTCAGCCCACTGACATGCACTCTGATCAAGGAGCTCAGCTCAGAGAGCAGTTGGACCGCAGTCTGAGTCTGCTGGAGAGACTAGAGCAGGGTAAGCACATACTAGGGATGCACGATATATCGGCGGCCATATCGTTATCAGACGATAAATTATTATCTATCTATGTTAAAATGCTATTTTTAACATTATCGTTATCGATCCGATGTCTAAATTAAGCCGATATATTTAATACAAAAGTACAATTACGATAAATGATGTAATTGTACAGACCTGCCTGCCTCGCGTGGGCAGAACATGTTCAGACTTGTTCAGTGCACTATAATGGATCTCTCCTCACTGTTTATTCCTTCAAAGTCTGTCCTTTCTTCATGTGGTACTGCTGTGTGTTAATAACTCAGTAAGTAACCATGTTCCTTATCATTGTAGATATAGAATAGTTTGCGCTGTTATAATTCACTTACCCTTTAATACGTTTTGGTGCGAATTTTAACTGCTGCGAATTTTAACAGCTATTAAAAAAATAATATGTTTTGAATGGAAAGCTGTAATGTAGCTGTGGCGGGATCAATTTTGGTGTGGCGCCCCGCCATGGAAGAATGAATGTAGCGGAAACCATGCATAAGCTCATGCAACTCTTTAACATGGATTTTATAGACAATTAATACAGTAAAATACATTTCGTTTGTTAAATTAGTATTCTATTGGCAACAAAATACACAGTAATGTTGCAGAATAAATTAGTTTGTCTTTTCTGTTATTCTTCAGTTTCTACAGGTGGTGTGGCTGTGGAGAACGAGGAGGGGGCGGAGTCAGAAATGATGCTCAGGTAAAAAAAAAACTTTTCATTACAAACTTGCTCAGAATGATGCACACTAATCTAACAAATGCTAACATCTTAGGAAAGTGTCTTCATGTTTGAGTCTTCATGGTTGACCTGCAGCTGCTTTTACCCATTAACCCAGCTGGTGTTTGAGGTTGTTGCTAGATCGGATACGTTTGCAGCTGGAAGTTAACAAGAATTATATTATTTATTAAATTTCCCATTTATTGTATTTTATTAACATCTACCCCCACCCCAACCGTCCCAGTAACGTAAAAAAAAATTAAATTACCCAATAAATTGTATTTTTTAACGCCTACCCCAACCCTTAACCCAACCGTCACAGTACTGTAAAAATATAAATTATTGTTATACAGCGTCATAAAGAAATGCTCCTATATTAATGTGCATATCACACTTCCGGCCGGCCGCATATCCGATCTAGACTTACCGGTGTTTAACGCTTTAGTCTGACTTCCTCCTGACAGTGATTGTGATTGGGTGTTTGAGGAGCTGCAGTGCCTGCGCTCTCAGATAGAGGGCGACAGAGATCAGCAGCAGCTCCAGATGGTTTATTTGTGCAGACAAAACCAGAATCTCGCCATTAGCACACAGCATTACGTTGATCTGTGAGTGCTGCATGTAACGGTCGTGTGCAGTGCAGTGTGTTTGTTATCTCTACAGTGCAAATCTTTCTTAGTTAATTGAGCTTTTGTTTTTGCTTTTTTTCCTCAGGTGATGGCCTTTTCTGTTAGTTCTAGGCTCTTATCCCATTTCATATACATTAAAGTGTTCTAAATTGCACCTCCCATTTTTGGAAGGAAACAAGGATTCATTTAATGAATCATTATTGATAGTAAAGGCATTTATAATGGTAGCACTTTACAATGAATGAGACAATTTGTTGCATGAAAGCGGACCGCACCCCGAACAAAGAGCAACAATGTAACAATTTTAATCCCTGTTTCGGAACAAATGAATCGATTCACAGCTGTAAGTAAATGATTTGGGATTTAGCTTTTACTTTTTTTGCAGCCTCATTTTTCTGAGTGGTGTGGTTGTAGTTGTGTTGATGGTTACTTTGTTTTATTGTGTCTCTCATTGTTTCCAGAGAGTTTCATTCTTCTTGTTGTGATTTGTTGGTGTTTATGTCAGACTCTCTGCAGAACTCCAGGAGAAAGACAAGCTCATTCAAGCTCTGCAACACCAACTGCAAATCCAGGCTCCCAGAATGCACCTGCACTCAGACTCTGAGATGAGTGACAGACTGTCTAATGATGGCACGTCTTCATGTCAGGACAGCCCTCCTTCTCTTTGCAGACACACTCCCGGCAGGCCTCACACAGGTAACACAGTACATCAAATTTGACTAGATATTTTTCAAGATACTAGTATTCAGCTTAAAGTGACATTTAAAGGCTTAACTAGGTTAATTAGGCAAGTTAGGGTTATTAGGCAAGTCATTATATAACAGTGTTTTGTTCTGTAAACAATTGAAAAAATTGCTTAAATATTGCTTAACCAGTTAAAGTCCGCGGACCCGGTACCTCATCTATATTTTATGCACATATGGATCACTTTGGTTTTATTCTACTGTACAAAAGTTATTTACACTTAAATACACAGTATTTTGGAGACCCGAGCTGGGGATTTTACATTGGTTCGTTTTCATATTTTTCATATGACACATGTACAAGTTATAGCTCAAATGAAAGCTCTTGCCGGTGCTCATACGGATCTAGCATTCTTTTTACTGAATTATTTTCACATCTCAAACAGTTGTCGAATGAATTGTGGTGTTTTCATGGCGCAGAACTGAAAAGAATACATTTATGATCACTAAGCAGCCCCAGATAGCACAGTCAGCTGTCATCTCTTACCTTATGCTGTGCGCTTCAGGGCCATTTCTCCTCTGTTTTTGAGGTGATGTGCATAAGTAATCCTTTAATATGTCTGACGTGGTCCAAACACAGTGAATTATGTTTGATCAAACAAAAGAATAGTGAAATATGAAAACAATGATTGATCCCTTTTCCCAGAGATGCGTTGCGGCTGGAAGGGCATCCACTGCGTAAAAACTTGCTGGATAAGTTGGCAGTTCATTCCGCTGTGGCGACCCCAGATTAATAAAGGGACTAAGCCGACAAGAAAATGAATGAATGAATGATTGCTCCCTGTGGCTTGTACAGCACCTCTCATCAGTTGGAATACAATAACTTTTGCATAGATTAGATAGATTTGCATAGAGACATTTGCATAGAGACATTTTTCTTTTGTCCTATTATTACAGACATGTGCAGGAACCACCAAAATTAATTACAGCACACTAGACCACACAGAATAATTTTAACTTCAGCTATATGTGATTGTAAATGCACTGTGTCCCTGCAAACACAGCAGAATGTGAAATTCAAACAAAACATTCATTAACATCCTTCCAACAAAGTTCTTTAATGTTTCATGCAACCAAATACTTAAAATTTAGCTTAATTACACTAAAAGCTACTCCCTGGGAAATGTAGTAAGCTAAGCTAAAAGCTACCTGGCCAAAGTTTCATTTTTAAATCGAGGCAACTTAAATCCAAGTCAATCATATCTTATTGATGAAGAAAACTGTCAATGAAACATGTGATACAGGATTGTTTAGTTGTTATTTACTGCAAATAATATGCTCTGCCAAACAGAAAACAAAGTATGTAAAAGCAAAAACAAAAAATCCAATAGAACCACATTTAAAATTTTATAATATTTTATAATAAAGATAATTATTTATGAATGAGCATTATATTGTATATATATTTACAACTCTTCATTAATGAATTACACTACATATGGCCTGTTTCCACTGAGTGGTACGGTTTGGTACGGTACGCTTTTATGGCCGTTTCCACTGTCAAAAGGCATATCAAACCTAACCGTACAGTACCACTTTTTAAGCACCCTTTCGAAAGGGTATCAATCACGAGAAAGGGTACCAATAGGTGGAGCTATGTTTTAAATACACAGCCAAGACATTACACCGTAATACTATATGCATATAATAACGAGCCATGGATGACTCGAGCTCAAACAAACTTTGTCATTGTCTTGATGTACAGCCACAAAGCCAAAAAGAGCAAAATCTGCCGTGTCCTGTTGTTGTTTTATGAGGCAGTCTAAAAGTCAGAGCGGTTTTAACTTTGTCCAGAGAGCTCGCAGTCGCGTCTATATTTGAAAAAATAAAAATAATAAACAGGGGGGCAAATAATTCAGGGGGGCTACTAATTCTTACTTCAACTGTATTTTTATTTTATTTTTTTACCTTTTTTATTTTTTTGGTTTTTAATGTCTTATTCTATAAATATATTGTGTACTGGAAATATAAAATGTTTACATCTCAATATTTTCTTAGCCTCAAATTATTTACTATATAAGGGTGATGCACTCTCGTTTGAGTGCCTGCTGTGAGCAAGAGAATCTAGAAAGTATATCCTCTGGTATATTAAGTATGCATTCATCCTTTTCTGTTAATCTGCGGCTTGAGTATTTGGAGTGGAGTAGTGAAACGACATGAGCTGTGGCTGGTGTCCCGTTACTGGCTCTTATAAATACATTATTCAGGACACTCTGTTATCTCCTCTGCCCTCCTGAGAGCCTTTAAGAGCCCTGAGCGGGTGTGTTGAGTCTCAAACGGATAGATTTGACTCTGTAATAAAGACAGATCAAGACTAAATGCTGGATTACCTCTCTCTAACTCTGGATTTACCCTCGATACACTAGCTAACAGGAGGAATTTGGTACAGCTAGTCTTGGTTTAAAAGTGACCCGGTTTAGGTTTCCAGCAACAGGAAGACAATAGATGGAGAGATTGGAGATGTGATGGACTTCACCGTGTTTGCAGTTTGTTTTGGACTGACGACTTAGAGTTATTGTTATTTAAGCTGTATTGATATACTCTCTTAGTGTTATAGTAAGTTTAACAATAGTTCAGTTCTGGAAATGAGTGAACAAATAGTGGTTCATAATCCAGTCTCTCGTGACAAATGGAGGAAGGTGTTAAAAGCCTCCAAACAGGAAGGTAAAATGAATGAGCGTTACTTTTTTCAATTGACTGTCCACTTTAAGTGGTGTTGATGCATTGTTGTCTTGAATTATAGGAAAGATTTTGGTGTTTAGTATTGTTTATATAATGTTTTTTATGTATATTTTATTATTATTATTATTATTATTAACAAAGCATACAGGCTGAATAAACAATATGATGATGTATATCAATTCACCTAATTAACTTAATTAAAATAGGGTATCAAATGAATAGAAGTTAACAGAAAAAAACATAAAAAATAAATGTACAGTATCAAGACTGAGATCAATAGAATACAATTGTACAAAGTAAGGCAGTCATCCTGGATCCTGATCATTGCTTTGTGCAATAAACATGGAGATTTTTTCAGCTGATATCTGATGTCCAGATCTTTAATGTACACATTTGTCTATATAATGTTATTTATTTTTATTATTATTATTATTTGTTTATTTATTTTTGTTATTGTTCTTTTTATTTACTTAATATTATTATTATTAATTTTCATTTGTTGTTATTTATATTTATTATTTTTCTAATTATTATAATAATTAAATATTTAAAAATAATTACTTATTCTTTATTTTTCCTTATTCCTATTATTATTTTACTATTACTATATTTCTTGTAGTTTTTGTTTATGTAATGTTATGTGGATTTATCACATTGCATTGCATTGCATTGCGTACTGGTATTAAAAGTTTGGGCTCTTGTTGGAGATTAGGTTAAATCTAAATGGCTTACTATTTTCGCAATTTTTGAAAAATACAACCATTCCGGTATGAAGTAGTGATTGAAATTTAAAAAAAAAATGCCTCAAATTGCTCCATTGATTGACAAACACTTAATTCAGATACTTTTAGTAAGTAGCAAAAAAGCCATAACTCGATATTTGTTTCAGGTTGATCCTCCATCAAGGGCTCAATTTGATAGGAATTGTAAAGGAAATACATGGTATGGAGAGACATTTAACCTGAGACTTGACTCAAAGTCCAACAAATTTTGGCAAAAATGGACTGAGTATGGCATTGTAAACAATGTGTGATAATGTGCTTCAAATGTATTGTGACTTGATTTCGTGACCCCTTTGACAACCGCTTTTTCATTTTTCCCCTCTTCTGTTTTTATTCTAAGTAAAACAAATATATATTTACATGTAATATATTTTTGTTTTAGGTTTAATAAATGTAAGAAATAAAAGTTTTTAATCTAAAATCTAGCAAAAAAAATCATTAGTTTTAGTTAGTAATGAAGCTACTTTAAAACATGTAAGAGATTGTGAAGCTCGGTTTGAAACTAAATGAATAGTTTAATTAATGTATGTCTTTATTTTGCCGGATTACAAAAAAAACGAAAATGGAAAAACTATTAATTTATGACATTTATAATGCGTTATTTAGTATTTGCATTTACATTTTTTCATTTAATAAATGTAAATAAATGTGATCAATAAAAGTTTTTAAATGTCAAATTTTGAAAAAATAGTTAACAGTATGTTACAATAAAATGGACAAATCATAAATGCTTATATTTAATATCCCTGCTTACATTTTTTTCTAGGTTTAATGTGAGAAATACACATTTTAATCCAAAAACTGTTTAATTAATATATGTCTCTATTTTGTTGCTTTACAAATGACAAATTTATATTCCCTTTATTTTGTGTAAAGTAAAAAAGCATCTGCTAAATTAATTAATGTAAAACGTAAAAACATTTGTTACAAAATACTTCCATGTGAAAATGTTCTACAAAATGCTGCTTATTTATTAATGACTCCTGAAAAAATGGATTATGCTAAAATATGCATTATTATGCATTATAAAATATGTATTGTGCATTATGTATTATGTATTAAGCAATAAACGTTTGTTTTAAACATCATAAATGATTCTTCAGTGCCAAAATCAGACTGAGAATGCTAGTAGTGTATTTTTAAAGCAATGTGTACTAAACATTAATTCCAAAAAAATCATCTGCAAAATAGATTTTTCTAATGTCTTGTTTATTCTTGTATGCCGATGTAAACAAATCATGTCATGTTTCAATAGGGCCGAAGGCGACCAATGGGGATGCATTTACAGACACAGGGCTGGTGTCTGGAGGCAGAGCTTCAGAAGGGGGCGTGGCTGATGGAGCAGAGCCACGTGTCCGGATCCTCCAGCGGGAGAACTGCCGTCTACAAGAGCAGCTGAGGAGCAGTGAGGAGCTCAACACTACACTCAGAAGTGAACTAGACCTCACACGATCCATTATAAAACACAGTCCACAGACCCAAGACAAACAACCTGAGAAGCAGAACACGTACACTAGCAAGACCATCAACTCAGGTAGAGCCCGCAGTCAACTCTCATTGCTACAAAATCCATTCAACTGTATATCATGTTAAAAAAACATGTCGTTTTATTAAGCCCAGGAACTGCATACTTATAGATTCTAATCTTGATTCAACTTGTTTTAGATCTTCATTTTAAATGCCCTTCCAGATGCAACCCATCACTGGGAAACACCCATGCGAACTCATTCACACACATACACTACAGCCAATTTAGCTTACCCAGTTCACCTACAGCACATGTCTTTGGGCTGTGGGGGAAACCGGAGCACTTGGAGGAAGCCCATGCGTATACGGGGAGAACATGCTAACTCCACACAAAAATACCAACTGACCTAGCCGAGGCTCGAACCAGCGACCTTATTGCTGTGAGGCGATATCGCTACCCACTCCGCCACCACGCTACCCCCATGAGCGAGCCATAGAAATTGGTCAGAAGCTCTATTAGTGCTGTGGTGCCAGGAAGAGAGAATGCAGTTAGAGTGCAAGGCGACTGGAGGAGGAGATCGCTGATGGGCAGTGGAGAGGGACTGGAGCAGGAAGTGTAGAGAAGCGAGGAAACCCTGGCTGGTCTGTAGCAGGGACGGTCTGACTAAGGCCCCGTTTACACTAATGCGTTTTAGTTTGAAAACGCATAAGTTTTGCTACGGTTACGCCATCCGTCCACACTACGCCGGAGTTCTCGAGCGCCGAAAACGGAGCGTTTCGAAAACGCTGGAGAGGCCGTTTTCATTCTGAAACGCAGCTGCTCCGTCTCAGTGTGGATGATGGAAAACGGAGACATTTGAAAACGGAGGCGGGGCTGCAGACATTGGCCTCTCTGATTGGGGCTTTTCCTGAATATTAAGTAGCCTAACACGCACAGTTCAGTCCTGCATCTTCTCCGTGTAAGTTAAAACTTCGCAAGTTTGATCATGGCTGCAGTCTCTTCTTCTCAGTTTGATATGGAAAACAGACTATACCGAGGACACGGGTAAATCTTCAAAGGGAACAGTGTACTTTATAACTTCATTCACATCACCCTGGCTACTTTGTTTTACTTTCTCAACAATAAAATGTAAACATGATATAAGGAACTGCCTATTTTCATTTTAATATTAACAACTAAACAGACAGCAAAAATGTTGAGGCGCCGTGCTGCAAATATGAGCGTCATCTTCACTGTGTGCATATTTATAACAAAACGGAGCCTACAACAACTGCCTCCTTTCAATTTCAGTGAAAATACGAAACACACCCTCTCTTTGCTGAATATCAGTTTTAATCGATAATGGCCATTATAAAAGTATAACATACAATAAGTTTATACATTATAGGAAATAAAGGCAAGCGATCAGTCAATATACAGAATGTACGTGCTTACATTAATCATTAACTTATCTTTGCGCTTAGCCAAAACACGTTACCTGAGAACAAGTAATAGATTCCAATGTCCAATGAATATGTCGTTAAATAAAGACAACAAGATGAAAGAAATATTCCGTTTAATAAATATAGTGAGGTTAGATCCAGCGGGAGATGCTTGATGAGAAGTCCGACTAGCACAGCTCTCATCTGGGTAGATTGGCTACAGCGCTTGCCTGAGAGTGTGTGTGTGGTCACGTGATGTGCGTTTTCAGCGTTTTGGTGTGGACGGAGAGCTGTTCAGAAACGCTGGGTGAAACGCGAGTGTGGACGCGGATCGTTTTCATTCTAAAACGCCGTTTTAAAACTAAAACGCACTAGTGTAAACGGGGCCTAAGGAAAAGAGGCTGAAACAAAATCAAAGACTGGCACTGGAGCCTACACAATAGCGAGACGAGACAAGACTAGACTGGACAAGAGCTAAGAAGTTTTCCATCTTTCTGTTGTAGATCTGTTAGCAGAACACCTGCAGGAGATCCGAGCATTGCGTCAGCGTCTTGAAGAGACGATCAGAACCAATGAAAGACTCCGAGAACAGCTAGAAAAAAAGTTACTGGAAGCTGAGAAAGACCCAGGTGAATAAAAACACAGTCTTCATCCAAGGTCATTTCATGCTACTATTACTATTTTTCTGAACATGAGTGTTTGTGTTTGTGTGTGTGATCAGCAGCCACCAACATCTTCATCGCTGGATCTGAGGATCAGAGTCACATCAGCAGTGAACTTCACTTCCTTCTGGCTCAAAACCACAGTCTCAAAGAGCAGCTCAACCAGGGAGCCCGAGGTAAAACCTCTTAAGTGTTGAAACAACTTTGTTAGCTTTTCACATTAGTGTATGTGTCAGTAAATCTGAATTTTGAGAGGAAAGTAATCGTTATCTTTAAAAATTTAATTACATGCAATTCATGTATTTACAATTCATGCCATTGAATATTAGCTTATTACCAGCATATTATTAAGATATTAGACATTAGTTGTTATAAAGTATGATCTTATTCTGCATTCCTGATCCTACCCATAACCTAAACTTAACTTTTACCTACTAACTGTTAGGGTTGGGTATTGTTTGGGGTTATTTCGATACCGTGGCTACAGTAAATCGATACTTTTAAAACGGTACCGGTGCCAAAATGGTGCCTGAGCCGATACTTTTGAGCAACAAAATTATGGTGGAAGACTCTAGAAAAACATTTTATTTGACAAAAAAAAAATGTATTCAAATCATTTTAATTAAGCAATATAATTGAAGTTTAAAGTATACATCAATTCATATTTTATATACATGAATTGCATTAATATATATTTTTTGATCATTTGTTTGGAAAGGCTGTCATTAGAATCTGTGAACTCTTTTTCTAGAGTTGGTGCTTGAGTAGTCATTGAGTACATTTACATGGACACCAATACTCAGATTTGAATAAGAGTAAGACAATATTCTGATTAGGAGCCTACCATGTAAACAGCGATTTTTGATTAACTTAATTGAACTAAAGTCATAAACAGAAATAAAATAAAGACGTGGAGTATTTTAGTGGCAATTAGCATAGGCCGGTATAGGGTTTCGATGGTATGATAGCTTTGGATAAAAATATCACGGTTTCACTGTATTGTGCTTACTGCTCGTAAATAATTCTTTTTTAATGTCTGGGTTAAAAACAAAACCTTTTTTCCCCATTTGAACAATATATTTTACTTTGAGAAACATTTAAAGTGTTTTAGAGCAGTAAACATGTCGGGCTGAATAATTCAAATGAATTGTTGACTTCTGCTTTCTTCATTTGATTCAAAAACACTATTTTCTGTACAATTTAAAACAGCATCTTTAGATATCTTTTCTGCTGGAGATACTGTTGTCCTAAAAAACAAAAACAAAAAAACATAATTAAAAATTACACATACCTTAGGAACGATATAACAGAAAGTTTTAGAAACCTTGACTTCTCCAAACCGCGGTATACCATGAAGCCATTTCTCATCCCATGCCTATTGACAATATTGAAGTGCAGTGCAGACATGTAAGCTCCTTAATCAAACTATTACTGTCATATAGGACCTTTCGCCGCATTTGATGACAGGATATTCCATACACACACAGCTGTTTGACACTATTCTCTGCACCTATCGAGTCTGTAAAGGACCACAGACACCCGCATTGTGAAATGCAGAAATTTTTTCTTTTCATTCGGCGTGCGGTATCAAATTCCATGAATACAACAGTCTTTCACCTGTCCTTACTTCATACGCGCAATCAATACCTCGGTTTATTATAGTGGTACCAATGAAATGTTCTCAAATGAAAGGGCTGAAATGTGAAACGTAAGCTGAATTTTTAGAAGGGAATTTGCAAGAAAATTACTAAATGTACACTGCAAAAATGCTTTCCCAGATTTTTTTGTCTTGTTTCTAGTCCAAATATCTAGAAATTCTTTAATCAAGAAGAATTTTCTTGACAAGCAAAACATATTGTCTTGTTTTAAGAAATATTATGCTAAAATTAAGTGAGTTTTTCCCTAAAACAAGCAAAATAATCTGCCAATGGGTTGAGAAATAATCTTGTCAAAGGGAAAAATAGGATCATTTTGCTTAACCCATGGGCAGATTATTTTGCTTGATTTAAGGAAAAACTCACTTAATATTGGCATATTATTTCTAAAAACAAGACAATATGTTTTGCTTGTCTAGAAAATTCTTCTTGATTTAAGAATTTTTAGATATTTGGACTAGAAAGAAGACAAAAAGTCCAAGTAAAGAAAGCATTTTTTTTTGCAGTGTAGGCTTAGAACTTTTGGGGAAAAAAGTCAGAATTCTGAAATGTTAACTCCCAAATGCTAAAATACCGTCAAATTTCTGAGAAGTAAGCTTATAATTTTACAGTTTTATAATTTACAAATTTGTTTGATAAATGCAGAATTTGCAGTGAGGAAAATTCAGAAATAAAATATGTAAGCTTTAAAAAAAAAAAGTTTTTTTAAAGTAAATTTTAAGATTACAGCTAAAAATTGTCCTTTTTTTTTTTACTTTTGATAGCCAGAATTTGTGGGAAAATTGCAAAATGTAAACTGTCTGAGGAACATCAGATTTGCAAGATGTAAACAGAATTTAGAGGAACAAATATCAGATTTACAAGATGTTTACAGAACTTCAGAGGAATGAAATTTCAAGTTGCAAGATTGAAAAATCTGAATTTTGCTGAAATAAAAGTGTGAACATGTGAACTCTGACTTTTGAGGCCAAAATGTCAGAAATGCATGAAAAAATATATAAACTTTCAATTGTGATTTTAAAAAAATGACAATTTTATATATTTCTGTATGTTAATCAGATAAACAAAAGGAGAACGACCGGTTGAGGGAGACTTTAGCCAGACGAACCGCTAAACTGGAGATGAGCAGAAATGAATGTGAAACACTGAAACAAGAGCGATTGCAACTACAGGACAACCTGTACAGGTACCACACACACACATCATACAGTACATTCATCTACAGTAAAGTGTGTTTCCTATTAAAAAGATCAGCCGCATGTCACACACAGTGATCCAGTGTCATGTAATGTGTGTGTTTATCTATCATGTGTCAGAGAGCCGGTGTAATGAGTTGTTTTAATTATTGCAATTATTTGTAATCCAGGCCGGAGGTAAATATGGCAATTTGGTAATGAGAGGGTTATATTACACACACACACACACACACACACACACACACACACACACACACAGTCATTATGTGGACTTTGCATTTTTAAGTTGTTGAACAGCACAACTCAAGTTGTTTGTTACACCACATTAGCATTCATCAATGAGATCTGCAACCAGTAACCAATTAGTATTTTAGCAGTTTTACATTTTAGAAACAACATAGTTTGTTAATGCCGTAATCGCTACGTGTGATTTATTATTGTGTATTGATAATGACTAAAAACACGTTGAATGACAGTAAAATGTAGCAATTTTACCAAATAAATGCATCAATAAGATCCACTGATTTATATACAGGGCTTGACATTAACACCCGCCAAATGCAGGTAGATTTCAGCTCTAGCGGGTTAGACAGTCACCTCCACTAGCCACTTTGACTGTTTGAAAACAATTTTTAAGTTGAAGTTTTCTTAAAAGCAGAGTTCGCCAATAAGGATGACCCAATATGCGTGCAAATGCGTTCTTAGAATCGAGAAGCTGCACGACTGACAAAACTAAGTGTTCACTCTAACAAAAGAAAGCAGGTGAATGCAGAATAAGAGGATAATCACTTGCGCTAACGGCTGATGTGATGCGCAACTGTTTAAAAAAGCGTGCGCGCTACCGTTTCCTTGCGTGAAGCAACCTCATCTAGGAACACAACTGGTGGGATAGGTTCTCCTTCAAATAGACTAGACAAAAAAGTTATGCTAATGCACCCAGTCTTGCAGCTTGTAAGAGCTCCAGATTTGTCTTTTTGTTAGCAGCACCAGTTGCTTTCGCTTTAATAATCTCTTCAAACAATGGTTAATGGGCCTAACCTTAACCATGTGGGTGTGATCATCCTTTTATTATCACACGGTATGTTTTTCACTTGCTTTTTTTGCCCACAGTTTATTTTTGTTAATATGGTTTGGTTTAAAAATTTTTTTTTACAATAACATTGCTTTAATGGTAATAACTCCACATTTATGTGTAGTTAACTGGTGATCTGGAACCTTCAGCCAGGACCCATTACTGTGCATATTTTAGATACATGACGATAATTATTTTTTAAAGGTCTATTTATTTATTTATTTACTTATTTTTAAGAAATGTTTTGTTAAATTAAAAGTATAGTGTACAGCAGGGGTGTTGCTAGACATAAAGCTCTACTGGGGCACACCTCCCCCTCCAAAAAAAAAAAACCACACACAGGCTAGCCTACTATAGGATCCTATCCCAATGTCTCCCGGACTATTGGACATTACAAAAATTTTGCTTTGGTATATAATGAGCTTTAAGACCTATGTTATGTAAGTCTCCACCCCAAATGCAACCTATTCTATTGCCTAATATAACTTATAAGCATATATATATTTATATATATTAGGGGTGTCACGATTTCGATTTTTAATCGAAATCGATCGAAATTTATGCTCAATTTTGATTATCGAATCAAAAAATAGAATCGTCGATGCTGCCACGCCCCCAAGTCACGTCAGCTTGGCTTGCCAAGCAGGCAAAATAACAGGCTTGTTGAAGAGCTTGTTAAACTGCAGAAGCAGGAGACCCGTCGACAGAACTTAAACCCTCTCCTCTTTCAATGAAGTCGCCGGTGTGTAAGCATTTTGAATTTCCAATGAGTTATGTTGACAACGTTCGTGTTGTCGATGAAAAAAAAAACACAGTTTTGCAAGCTCTGCTCTGTACGTATTACGTACGGTTCGTCCGATAGACAACACCGGCATCGCGATCCTCCGCCCGCCCCCGTTGCAAATCCGCTCACGAAAAGTACACACTCAGGCCCTGTTTACACTGTCTTTGTTTTTAAATGGCATTTTAGAACGACAACGATTTGACATCCACAGTGGCGTGTAGCATTTCTGAGCAGCCCTCCTTCCTCTCTACCTCTGAAAATGCACATCACGTGACCACACAGACACACACACAGCCATGCGCTCGAGACAGCAGGTCCAGGCAGTCAGAGGATCAGTAGACTGCTTCAATCTTTCACTCACTTGTAATTAGTCATTTTAGCAAACACCTCAGATACTGTTGGCTGGTTCCTGTTGGTTGTGCATCTTTTTTACTGACGCCATTATAACGACACAGATCACTGCCTATTCACGAGTCCCGCAGAAAAAAGTGATTGACAGGTGGTAATTATGTGTGTATCTTGCCTTTATTCATTTACTGTATGATTTGTTTATGGGTAAAACAAAGACCATGCAGGTCAGGTAGTTTAAACGGTAGGCTACAAATAATTAATTTGTCATTAATTAATTAATTATTCATAATCGAAAATCGAATCGTGACTTCAGAATCGAAAATGTATTCGAATCGAGGATTTGGATGATCGTGACACCCTTAATATATATATATACATACACAGGGCCGGCGTGTCCATAGAGGCGACCTAGTCAGGCACCTAGGGCGGCAGAATAGAGTGGGTGGTGTCCCCGACACTACCCTCACCACCCACACCCTCAGTTATATCCGCGTCTAGGGCGATGGAATAGAGAGGACGGTGTCTCCGATAACTCCCTCAATATATATATATTGAGGGAGTTATCGTGGACGCCGATTTTTTTTGTTTTTAAATCTAAAACGAAAATCAAAAAATGGCTCGTTTTTCAATATCTGTTTCTAAAATGAATATCCAGTGACCAAAAGACACACTGACCTCACAGATACAGTTAGTGATTAAACTATAATGCAGTACACATCTGAATAATGTGGTGGTGGTAGGTCATTTATAAATAAAGTTGGCATTCTGTTTGATTCAGTTGTCGATGCAATAATTCCTCTAGATGATTGAGTGATTCTGGTGCTAAAGCAGCAAATCATCTGACCAATTTGTAGAATCTATTGTTAATGTATTAAGCATTTTGATTCATTCAGAGTCAGTTTGTCAATACAGTAATAATTCTGACTGATTTAATTGAGCGAATCAGTTATATGAGATTCACATGTTCACATTTTGCATGCAGACAGAAGCCTTGATTTAGGTGTGTGCGTGCGTGTTTTAGGTTGCAGTGTGAGAACAGTCATCAGAGGCAGCAGTTGAGTGACACTCAGCAGCTCCTGCAGTCTGTGCGTGTGGAGCTGCAAGTACACGAGCACATGAAGAGCACACACACTCAGTCAGGTATGTTCACACACACGCATTGGTTTTTGATGTGTTATGGGGTCTTTCCTTAGATGTAATAATTTTTATACTGCACATACCATATATTCTGTCATCTTTCTTAAACCAACCCTCACAGAACAAAACGTTTTGCAGTCTTACATGTTGTATTTGATTTATTATTAACTTAATCAGCTCAATTATTTATGACCCACTTGCTTCATGGAGATCCAAACAATTTGGCCACACAGTCCAAAATAGCTGGTATTGCTATACTTGTAAGGACATTTGGTCCAGGACCACACATACACGGGGTGTCTGAAGCACACTGATTTGAGATGGTGTGTGTGTGTGTGTGCAGGTGAGGGCCGCAGCTCCAGCTCTGCAGGCGGTTCAGCAGTGGATATGAGTGAGCTGTTGGCTGAGATCAGACAGCTGCGGGTTCAGCTGGAGAGAAGCATCCAGATCAACAGCACACTCAGACAGAGACTCGAACAGCAGCTGCTGAGCCGCCGCACAGACCCCAAATCAACCATCAACATCAACTACCTGCTCAGCAAGACAGGTACACACACACACACAAACACACACACACACACACACACCCTCAGACAGACTCTCACACACACTCAGACACATACACAGTGCAGTTTCATGCTGAAGCCACAGATTGAGGTTTCAGAATTTTAGATCTTTTAAGAAATGACTAAACATCTATCTATCTATCTATCTATCTATCTATCTATCTATCTATCTATCTATCTATCTATCTATCTATCTATCTATCTATTTGTCTATCTATCTATCTGTCTATCTGTCTGTCTGTCTGTCTGTCCCTCTATCTGTCCATCTGTCTGTCAGTGTATCTATCTATCTGTCTATCTGTCCGTCTATCTGTCTCTCTTTCTGTCTGTGTCTATCTATTCGTCTATCTGTCTTTTTGTCTGTCTGTTTATCTATCTATCTGTCTGTCTGTCTGTCTGTCTGTCTGTCTGTCTATCTTTTTCTTTCTGTTTTGTCTTATTGCTTTTAATCTTTTTTTCATTCTGTCATTTATTCTCATTTTGTTTTTGTTTCTATTTTGTTTCATTCTTTTGGTCTGTCTTTTATCCCATATGCTGTATTTTTATTTCTTTCTGTTTTATATATCTTTCTTTCTGTTCTCTTTTATTGCTTCTCTTTCAATCCTTTCTCCATTCTGTCATTCAATCTTATTTTGTTTTGTTTCTATTTTGGTTCATTGTTTTTGTTTATTTTTTATTTTGTTTTTGTTTTTTTGTCTTTTATAAAAAAATATTAATCTATTTTGTTCTTTCTGTATTTTTATTGCTTCTCTTTGATTTTTTTATATTTTGTCTTTCATTCTGTTTTTGTTCTATTTTTATTTTGGTTCATTCTTTTAGTTTTGTTTATTTTTTATTTTGTTCTTTTAATCTTTTATCCCATGCATTGATCTTTTGGTTTATTTAATTTAATAATTTTTTGTTTATTGTTTTTTGATTTGGTTGTTGATCTTTCTTTTGTTCTTTTTGTTTATCTTTTTCATTGATCTTTTATTCTGGTCTTTAATTTTTCTTTTTTTCTTGTTCATTTTGGTAATATCTCTATCTCTCTCTCTCCCTGTCAGATGAAGCAGTTAAATCAGATGTTCTCCACTTACAGACAGATGTGTCCAGTGCTGAACGTGGTACATATATTTTGTCTTTTTCTGTTTTTGTAAGTTTAAATCATCAGTTTATGAACAGATTTTAATAAAGAAAATAGGCAATGTCTCACAGGGTCATATTTCACCAGTAAATGAAATGAAAGAAATAGGAAATTATATTTTGGATTGAGAAAATGAGTTCATTTATTCTAGATTAAATTGAAGAAAGCATGCTGAATTATTGTCAGTAGAATGTATTAAAATGATCACTTTTGGAAATAAAAGTCAATGTAAAATTTTAATGTGTTTAGACGGTGGCAGTTCAGCAGACTCTGGGTCCAACGCTCCCTCTCGGCTGGTTCCGGGTCACCGGCTGTGGGCAGACAGACGTGGACGACATGTTCTGGGGCTGATAGAGGACTATAACGCCCTGCGCAAACAGATCACTGAAGCCAAGAGACTTACTGCAGACCTGGAGACACAGATCCATGACTGCGGCAGGGTGAGCACACAAACATACGATATGTTCACATAGACAGAAACACACATCATAGACACTCACATACATACATTGCGATAACTCAGACACAGGAATGACTCCATGTTTTGTGTGTGTCAGAGTGTGGATCAGCTAAAAAGTGTTTCTGGAGGTGTGAACACCATGCAGCAGGTTCTGGAAGAGGCCGCACGACTCCTCAAACTGCTCTGGAGAGTCTCTGTGCCTTCAGGAGACACACACTCACAGCAGGTAACACACACAATCAATAAATCAGAAACATCTTTATTGTCATGTTTATTTCCACGTACAAGGAATTTCCACAGTGCAGCAGAATGACTGACAGGAAAAACACTGAAAATAAAGGAATTTTAAAAATACAATGTAAATAGGGAATTAAAATATACAAATTTGATATTTACAGTTGAAACCATAAGTTTACATACACTCTAAAAAAGTAACATGACCATTTTTTAAAAGATGTCTGCTTGTAAATCATACTAAACATTTACTATTTTTGGTCCGTTAGGATTACCTAAATGATTTACATTTGCTAAATGCCAGAATAATGAGAGAATTTATTTATTTATTTATTTATTTATTTTTTTCCATTAGTTTCTAGACTGTCAAAACATAAATTCTACATAAATTTCCTTGGTAAATAAATTTCAGCTTTGCTTTTAAACAGTATAACTTTGGTCAAATGTTTTGGGTGTCCTTCCACAAGCTTCTCACAATAGTTTGAAGGAATTTTGGCCCATTCCTCCTGACAGAACTGGTGTAACTGAGTCAGATTTGTTGGCTGTCTTGCTCGCACAAACTTTTTCAACTCTGCCCACAAATTTTCTATAGGCTTGAGATCAGGGCTTTGTGATGGCCACTCTAAAACATTCACTCTGTTGTGCTTGAAACACATTTGAACTAATTTGGCAGTATGCGTAGGGTCATGGTCTGTTTGGAAGACCCATTTGTGGCCAAGTTTTAATTTCCTGGCTGATGTCTTGAGATGTTGCTTCAGTATTTCTACATAATGTTCTTTCCTCATGATGCCATCTATGCTGTGAAATGGACCAGTCCCTCCTGCAGCAAAACAGCCCCACAACATGATGCTGCCGCCCTCATACTTCACAGTTGGGATGGTGTTCCTAGGCTTGTGCGCTTTCCCCTTTGTCCTCCAAATGTAACACTGGTCATTATGGCCAAACAGTTCAATCTTAGCTCCATCAGCCCACAGGACATGTCTCCAAAAATCTTTCTCCTAGTGTAATTTAGCAAATTGTAATCTGGCTTTTTTGTTGATTCTGGCTTGTTGATTTTCCCATGTTGTCACACAAGGAAGTGTGTTTGAGGTTTTTCTTAAATACTGTTCCACAGTTGTGCCTCCAATTAACTCAAATGTTGTCAATTAGCCAATCAGAAACTTCCAAAACCTTGACACCATCATCTGAGCTTTTTCAGAGGCAGAATAATCTTATTCTATGTAATCTTGACATTCAAGAAAAGTTATAACAATTTCTCAAAAAACATCTCTCTCACTATTCTGCTATTAAGCATAACAGCATTAACAGAACTAATTTGATAATTCTAACTTACCTAAAAGAGAAAAATTTGTCACATTAACATCTGACTTTTTTTTAAATGGTTATGTGCCTTTTTATAGTGTATGTAAACTTCTGCTTTTAACTGTATGAACAGGTATAATAATATATGCATTACTGCGAACTGTCCCATACCACTTTTTAGCACAACAAAAAGGGTTACCAAAAGGCACCTGAATGCTATTGGTTTACAGAGATGCGTCACTGCAACAACCCAGAATGAAAACAAAGGAACCACCATGTTTTAAATACACAATCGCGACATTACGCCGTAATACTATATAGATATAATAACAAGCCATGGTCGAAGAGGAGATAAGCAGAAACTACCCTTGGCCCCGTAGTTCTTTTACAAGGCTGCCTAAGCGCGAGCAGTTTAGCTTTTTCGCTTGCCCTTGCCGAGTGTCTATATTTGATAATAACGAACTTCTTGATCTAATGATAATAGCGTGCGCATGATTATTGAAGTGCTTCTGACACCCAATCCTTTCAGAAACGGACAAAAGCAAGAGTGAAGCGCAAAAAAACAAAGGAGAGGCTGGAAAAAACAAAGGAGTAAATGATTCTTTCAGCAACCTAAAACATGAACAAACTGCCATGTAACTATCATCACCTTACGGACTATTATAAACTCTCAATAATGGAATGACTCTCTAACAGAGTTTACATGTGCTGGTGAAGATTACAGAGACAGATGAGGGGTTAGGACTGACTGTGAGCTTTAAACTGCGTGTTGTTTTTGAACCCAAATAAGAACTAAATGTCTGCTGTTTGTAGTTTTTCTGTAACATATCAGAGACTGTAAGGGTCTGTATGTGTTCACATATGTTGCATACAAAACTGCAGACATTACAGTAGGCTATTTCTCATTATTTTGTCATTGATCTGCAGTTATAATCAAATCATATTGGTAGTAAGGTTAGTAATGAACATTTTTACACAAGTATTTGTGTATAAAGCGTCTGTTTGTGAGAAGTGCTTCTCATATGATATGAGCTGTACTGTATTTTCTCAAACGAGAATGACGACAACTGAAACTTTCTATCATACACCACGGCCACCAAAAGAATACCATTGGTACCCTTTAGGCAGTGGAAACACAAGTCTGATAAAGGTGACCTGTACTGTACCATGCTGTACCACTCAGTGGAATTGGGCCAAAAGGATCTCCAAAAAGTGGCACCGTACAATTCGCTTCTAGGTATCTTTTGACAGTGGAAATCTCCATAAAAGTGTACCCTACCGTACCACTCAGTGGAAACGAGCTATGAATCCATTGTGAAGTTCTTGGGAACAGTCTTCTTGAGATAAAACTCTAACTAAAGCTGCCCGGTATTGGACAATCTGACGTTGCAATATTAAGTGTAAATATATTTTGATATGAATAATTTCTCCAGATTACTTGAATCCATTCGTTTAGATCTGCAGATATTGCATCTGCATAAAATGTTATAAATAACAAGCACATTTTATTTAAATAGAGCACAGATTAAAGTGAAATAAACAGTGCTTTATGGTTTTCTATGGTGTCCAACAGTATTCAGGTTTAGAAATTTAACAATCAAAAACAAAATAACAGGGTCTTCATTGTATTAATAATTGAATGATGAAACCGTATATTGCGCAGCTCTGATACAATCAGCACACACACAGTGTATAATCCAGTGGTTTTATGTGAGGATTAAAATCTGTGACTTTTCTCTTTGTGTGTGTTCAGGACGATATGTTGCAGAGTGAGATCAGTCGTCTGAAGAGTCGTCTGTCTCAGCAGGAGCGCATGTTAAGCGGAGCCGTCAAACGCCTGAGATCTACCAATCAGCTTAAAGAGGGCATGGAGAGAGTCATCATTGACCAACGTAAGAAATACACACACACACACACACACACACACAAAGGTTATTTCACTAAACTAAAATGCTATCAAAATAAAAACAAAAGACAAACTATAATAATATTGACACACACACACGTACATGTAACTGATGAGTGTGTGTCTCCTGCAGTGTCTCTGACCCATGGCGTGCTGAAGAGAGCCAGAGGAAACCTGGAGGTGTGTGTTCTGCTTGTCATATTTTTATTTTCTGTGTGCATCATAATGATGATGATGATCGGAAATATGGAGCAGCACAAATGTCTCGACAGACACTGATCATACCAATCATTTTCAGTCATCATGTAAGAATGATTTCTTCTGATTGCTTGAGTCACGTTTAAAGCTGTTGTTTCTCTGGCTCAGTACTGATAGCCAAGCAACAGTTTTATTTAGTGAAAACTTGCTACGTGACTAGAAAACATGTTGTGTGTTTGACGGCACTTATAAATTCACTGTTAACCAGGCCATTTTTATAAAAAAAATACAATTAGAAAAGTAATATTACTTTGCAATATTGTTTTTGGTGTAATAAATGTAGTCTTGTGTATTGTCTAGTGTTGCCAGCTTAGTAACTTTTCAGACACCCTCAGCGACAAATTTTCAAAAAAGCGATTATCGACTTTTTTGGTGTTGCTGGAGATTTTTATAGACTCTCATGAGTCCGTACTGTAGCGTTCCTACTCTTGTCAATGAGCTGCAGGTGATGCCGTCAGCCTCAGAGCACTCACAAGTGACTTTCAGCATGAGTGAGGAAAAAAGAAGCACATCAGATCAGAGAGAAGCAGTAATTCAATGCTATCATAAGTACAAGTTAGATTAGTTAGGGACCGAGCACCGAAACGGTGCGTAGGCCCTATTGGAATTGCTCTGTTTATTATTATTCTTCTTCTTCTTCTTCTTCTTCTTCCGCGGAATGAATCACGGTTTTGAGGGGCTAAACATGCCCGAAAACTCACGAAACTTTGCACACGCCTCAGAAGTGGCGAAAATTTACGTTTGTTAAGGGCTTCGGAAGTGGGCGTGGCAAAATGACTCGACAGCGCCACCTAGAAAAATTAAACGGACGAGCCCCCGATCCACAAATCACGCACATGCACGAAAATTGGCACACACCTCAAACACACCAAAACATACGAAAAAGTCTCTTGGAGCCATATCTCAAACCCAACAGGAAGTCGGATATTTTTAACTTCCTGTGGCGAAAAAGTGGCGTTTTTGCCATTTCCAGGCGTTGTATTTTAACGAACTCCTCCTAGGGATTTTATCCGATCGACACCAAAATTGGGTTTTGTCATCTAAAGGCCTTGGCGATGTTAAATTGCGAAGCTTTAGAGTTTTCGTCGATGGGCGTGTCCGTGGCGGCCTCGCAAACTTTGCAATTCGCCACAAAACAGGAAGTCGTTATAACTCAGGCATGCATTATCCGATCTGCCTCAAAATTCACACGCTCGATAAGCGTCCTGACCTGAACACGTTTACATGCCAATATCCAGATACAGTTACAGCACCACCTGCTGGCCACAGGAAATGACATAATTTACTGAGTAATAAACTCCTCCCACAAATTTTATCGTATCAGCACCAAAATTAGGTGGTGTTATCTGAAAGCTCTAGCGATGATATATTGTGAAGATCTAGAGTTTTCGCAGAGGGGCGTGTCTGTGGTGGCATGACAAACCTCAACGCTTCGCCATGGAACAGGAAGTCCTTATAACTCAACCACACAATGTCCGATCTACCTGAAACTTCACATGATTGATAAAAGTCCTCTCCTGAACACATCTACATAACAATATTGAGTCAGTCATAGCGCCACCTGCTGGCAGAGGGTAGTTTGGCTTGTAACTCGGCCACACAATGTCCGATCTGCCTGAAACTTCACATGGTTGATGAAAGTCCTCTCCTGAGCACATCTACATGATAATATTGAGTCAAAGTCATAGCGCCACCTGCTGGCAGAAGGAAGTTTGGCTTGTAAGTCGGCCACACAATGTCAGATCTGCCTAAAATGTCACATGGTTGATGAAAGTCCTCTCCTGAGCACATCTACATAATAATATTGAGTCTTTAATAGCGCCACCTGCTGGCAGAATGTAGTTTGTCTTATAACACAATCTCCACACAATCTCTTATCTGCCTGAAACTTCACATGGTTGATAAAAGTCCACTCCTGAAGACATCCACATAACAATATTGAGTCAGTCATAACGCCACCTGCTGGCAGAAGGTAGTTTGGCTTATAACTCAGCCACACAATGTCCCATGTGCCTGAAACTTCACATGGTTGATTAAATTCCTCTCCTGAAGACATCTAAATGCCAATCTTGAGTCACAGTTATAGCGCCACCTGCTGACAGGAGGAAGTTTGGCATAAATCTGTGATTTTCTTAGTTTTTTTTTAAATATATTGGCTTATATTATTATTGTTCGCTGTTCTCTGTCATCGTAAGGTCACCGGGCGGCGGTGAGCCCGGGTGCGAGGTCCCTATCATCGCTGCTTGCAGCTTTAATTTGGTTTGGTTTTATATATATATATATATATAAATAAAATTATTTTTTTCAGAATTTTTATTTTTTATATTTCATGCAACATTTAAGACATGCCTCTAATTTTTCTTCTGAGGTAAATTTTATTTTTTAAGAATTTGCATGTTTTAGATTTCATTCATAAATAGTTTAGAGCTTGTCTTTATTTTAGAAAAAAATTAAGCAATAGGTTTTTGTTTTAGAATTTTCATATCTAAAATATTTTTTTCTGAAATAGATATTATTACTTTTTTTTAGAATTTTGCATTTGCATGTTTTAGATTTCATACAACTTGCTCTCAGAAAATTTTTTTGAAAAATTATTGTTAAATAAAAAAAAAAATTTCTGCAAAAATATTTGGAACAATATTACTTTTTAAATGTTCATTTTGATTTTAAACTTCACATTTAAATACCGCAAAACATACTTTAAAATAGATTTTATTATTTAGAATAAGATTTGCATGTTTTAGATTCAATACAACTTGTCAGAAATAGCTCTCAGAAAAAAAAAAAAAAAATTTATTAGTTGTGTAAAAAGTTACAAAAGAATATATATATATATATATATATATATATATATATATATATATATATATATATATATATAACTTTTTTTTTTTTTTACATTCATTACAACCTTTAAATAACACCTCTAAAATAATTTTCTAAATGTCTTTGATTTTTTTTTTTACAGGATATACACTACCGGTCAAAAGTTGATGTTTTTTTTTTTTTGTTCATCAAGGTGGCATTTATTATATGTAAAAACTAATTTTTCAAATAATAACTGCTTTCTTATTGTAGATAAATTCAAATGATATAATTATTAATGGCAGGAATAATAATACTATAAATAATAATAATTTCTATTAGAAGGATTTCTGACTGATCATGTGACTCTGAGGACTGAAATAATGAATCTGAAAATTCATCATTAAAATCACTGGAATAAATGATTCAATTAAATTATGATCTACTTTTGAAGTTGTTTTATAGAGCAATATCATTTCACAGTTTGTTCTGTATTTCTGATGAATTAAATGCAGCCTTGGTGAGCAGGAGAAGCTTATTTTAAAACATTTAAAAATCATCCTGACCCCAAACGTTTGACCAGTAGTGTATCTCAGAGAAAAATTATTTAGCAATTTTTTTCTTAAAGCTCTATAAATTGTAAAAAAAATAAATAAATGCAGATTTAAAAAAATATATATTTCAAAAAAGATTTTTTTTAATGTTATAATTTTTTATTTATTTATTTATTTATTTATTTTTACATTCCTTAACACCTCTAAAATAATTGTTCACAAAAGTTTCTGAATGTGTTTATTTCACTTAACAGGATCTGTGTTTATGATTTGATCTCTTTAATCCTCCTCTGGTCATCATGATATTAACGCTGCGTCTGCTCTCCTTTATTTCACCTGTATTTCAGTCTAACTATCTGAATGTTTTTGGGCTGAAGGGTCTGCAGGTGGAAGGTTAGTTTAATGAACGTGTGTGTGTGTGTGTGTGTGTGTGTGTGTGTGTGCGCAGATTTCTCTCTTTGCATGACACAATCACTGCATGCTCACTCTGCATCTTTTGTGTCTGCTTGCAGTTGTTTCAGATCTGGTTGTCGCTCCTCTTTCAGGCTTGTGTGGATTTTTGAATGATCATTTGACCCTTTTCTTTATCTTTCATCTTTGTATCCGTTCTTAGGACGTCCCACTGAATGTCCAGTAACCAATCAGAAGTTGAAGGTTGTGGCCAGTACCGGCAGAAGTTCCGCCTGCAGTGAAAACTCCTCCCACTGCAGCTGTTAAGTGGTTATGAATATTCATGAGATAATCATAATGATGACCTCGCCTTTTAATGATCATTTTTAATTTATTCAGTGTTTGAGGTACGCTGATGTCCTTCAGAGGTATTTGCACATTTACAGTAATCATTGAGCCGCTGTCAAAGGGAAAGCTTCTGTTTTTATGCTGTAAATAGTTTGAGTTTTTACTGTTTTCTCTCAGTGGTTTTGGACAGGTACTCTTTGTTATCCTGATGTAAATTATTGCTTTGTGTACATTACTGATGTAAAAGATGCTGTTTTGAGTAAACTAAACCCTCGTGAGACTGTTGTGTCTCTGTTTTTATATCAAACCACTGGGATTGTAATCAAGTTTTCTCATAACGAACGATTCATAAGCTGCATCCCAAATGGTACACTATACACTTACACACTCAACAGCAGAGTTTATGTACAGCTGAAGTCAGAATTATGAGCTTCCTGTAATTGAATATTTCCTAAATGAGGTTTAACAGAGCAAGCGAATTTTCACAGTATGTCTGATCATATTTTTTCTTTTGTAGAAATTCTGTTTTATTTCGGCTAGAATAAAAACAGTTATTAATTTTTCAAACACCATTTTAGGGACAAAATGTATTAGCCCCTTTAAGCTATATTTTGTTTGATAGTTTACAGAATAAACTATCTGTATACAATAACTTGCCTAATTCCCCTAATCTGCCTGGTTAACCTAATTAACCTAGTTAAGCCTTTAAATGTCACTTTAAGCTGTATAGAAGTGTCTAGAAGAATATCTAGTCAAATATTATGTACTGTCATCATGGCAAAGATAAAATAAATCAGTTATTAAAACTATTATGATTAGAAATGTTGAAAAGAAAAATCTTCCCTCTGGTAAACAAAATATTGGGGAAAGAATAAACGGGGGGCTAATAATGCTGACTTCACCTGTATGTAGTGTCGTCCCAAATGAAACACTTTATTTTTTTTTACTAATCGGAAACACAAACCGTTTTCCTGATGACGTTTGCCGGAAATAACTGACCAAACTACCCAATAATACCTGCTGTGAGTATAACCACATTCACCATCGGGAGGGGCTATAATCACTCTAGTAGGAGAATTTTGCTTTCACCATCCAAAGTAAATAGTTATCCAACATCAGTGCCCGAAAGCTCTGCTACATGAGCAAAGCTGCGATCGTTGAGTCTGTGAAGTGTTGAACTATACACACTAGGTGTGTCCCAAATGGCATACTTATGTACTTTTCTACGCCATTTTGTAGAATAAGTAGTTTGTTCACACTGAAAACTCTAAACAGAATAAGTGCACTTTAATTACCCGGAGGTTGCACTCATTCAGCCGGTAAAATGAAGTGTGTAACACTCAACAGCCGCAGCATTGCTCATGTAGTGGAAGGGGCGGAGCTTTCAGGCGCTGATGTTGGATTATTTATGTTGGATGGTGAAAGCAAAATTCTCCTACTAGAGTGATTATAGCTCATTCACATAAAACTATTTTGCTCTTTCAGAATATTTCATTTAACTACATTCATGAGATTTATGAATTAATCTCAACATTACTAAAGCAAAAGCTGTATTGTTAATGTATAAAATCAGCTCTCATTGATTTTCAACAGTTTATTGTGGTTATAAGACAAATATATGGCAACCGGGACATAAAAAGGTTTCTTACAAAACGTCTGTGGGAACTGATATACTGTACATGTAACTACAAAACCAGTTGAATGCGTGTTGACAGTTTTCATCATCGTCATGAGGAAATAAAGGGAAGGAACGGTTTAAATACAAAAGGCCCTTTATGCGCTCACTGTAAACTTTGGCACCACTGAACCGGCGTCCTCCAGTCTCTCTCAGATCTTTAACGCTGGACTTGTCTGACGAAGGCCTGCACCAGCTGGATGAACGGCTCCTGGCCCTCCGGCGTGACCTTGGACCCCGGTGTTGGTGGTTTGGTTTGTGGTGAAGGAAGCAAACCGCTGGCTGGAGACGAAGGAGAGCCACGGCGGAAAAACCGGAATAATGTTGACAACAGAGTACTCTAAAAGAGGAGAAAACAAAAGATGAGGAGATGAACTGGACTGAGCGGAAACAATATTAATACTGCAGGTGACCTTTATGCTGTGTTCACACCAGACGCGGAAGGCGCGGATAAATCGCGCTATTCGCGCATAAATAGCCGCGTGAACATTTGAGTTTACTCGCTTCATACAAGCGTCAAACCCCGCTTCATTCGCATGTCAAATTCACATCAGAACAGATGCGGATTCGCGTGATGGGCAAGGCTTCTGTCTGCCCGAAGACTCTAGCTTCATAGCTAAATGGCTAACATTTATTTTCTTCATAAAATCCCAGTGTTAATGTGCTTTATAAAGGCTGAAAAACAGCGTCGATACGTTTAGGGTCGTGTCCACTACATTCTTTCAGAGGTGCATCCAGCTCTGAGCTCATAAACTCCTCCAGAAACTGATCCTGGATGACGGAGGCTTTCAGCGGTGCTTCTGACTGAGCCAAGCCGAGTTTGATGAACTGTTGTCAGTGAAGGCTGGAGGATTTCTCCCTCGGAACACCGACAACAGGTTTTACGTCACAGTCACGCCCCCACAAGAGCAAGCTTCTGATTGGTTAACGTGGCGCGAAAGTACCCCTAAGTTCAGATTTTCAAAATCGAGAGATTTGCGCGAAACGCTCGTTAAGCGCATCAAACGCCCCGCAGGATGTCTATTCGCGCGTTTGCATTGACTTAACATGTAAATCACTCGCGCTTGACGCACGTTCCGCGTCTGGTGTGAATGCAGCATCAGAACAACAACAAAACCAACTCCAGAAGACATGCATTACTCACAATCATAGTCTCAATGAGACAAATAAATGATTAACATTGGTTTTGAATACAGATATAAATAAATCAATAAAGACTGATTCTGTAAATTGCAGAAATAACAAACTTGCTCTAAAACAAACAAAAAGAAAAGGTCAGTTTGGAGTGAAAATGATGAGAAACAGCGTTAACAATTTTACCCCAAAATCCAAATAACATTTGTCATGTTAAAAACATGAGCTGTGGAAATGCTTTATTCACATTTGATCAATATAATTGTAATATTTGTGTTTTGCTCTAAGCCAATGATGTTGCACAATCAGGGCATTCTATGTTCCAATAGACTGATTTCACGCGGCCGCCATTTTAAAAAGCGAAATCGAGTCTGCGGAAGGAAGAAACCCGGAAGTATCGTTGGGAGTTAACATTGGAACATTGTGTAGCTGGCTGTATATCTTATCAGCGAAGAGAAAGTGACATAAATGTATTATTCCACCGCCTTCCGAGTGACCCGAAGATCCGTTCTGAATGAATGGTGAAAATAAAAGGGATATCAGAGCTCAGTTTCAGCTAAGTTGAGGAAAACGGCACTAATTAGCTAACGTTTTCTTTCCCGAACACAAGTTTTAGATGCCATTTATCAAACTTGATTTACTGAACTGACTCTTTCACTATATTAGACTCGTCTTGATACTGACTTAAATGTTAACGGGAAATCAATGTTTTTTCTTTTAAGACACTGTTGATGGCTTAAAACAGCGCTGATTTGCCATTGTGTTCACGTGCTCAACAGAAATGACTGTGATTTGCCGAGAAGGTCATCAGTTCACCCTCCGCTGTTTATCAAGCACAAACACAGACGAGCTGAGCGATCTGCTTGATGACTCGACTGATCTTCACGACTGCTTCGTGCTCCAGTATCTGTGTTTGCACTGGGTGAAGAGCGGTAAACTGATGAGCACTGGTGAATACTATGGTAAATCAGCGATGTTTATAAACGCGCTTAAATGTTAGCAGGAAATGGACGTTTTTAAAACTTTAGTAGCTGGACAACACTATTACAGACAAAACGAGGGTGTGCTACAGACAACTGCAATGTTTCATTGCTCACCGGGTTACATAGGCTGAAGCAGGGAAACAGTGTTTAACTGGTGCCATGAACTGTAGCCTAGGAGGACACTTGAGCATATTACTCTTACAGATCGTGATGTTGTTTGATGCCTAATCTGCCTTTAATTGTTTAAATTAAACTGAACTGACTGATATTAAAGTGATGTTTACACCATTTCTGCATTTTGAAATCTCTGCAACAGCTGGAGGTTTATAGTCCACAGCATGTTGCTGCAAAGTTTATAGTGCTGGTGCTATACTTCCGGGTTTCTTCCCACCGTAGCTTCACTTTGGTTCTTTAAAATGTCGGCTGTGTGAAATAAGCGTATTGACTAGAACAAACGTCAGTCAAGTTAATTCATGAAGGCTAAGAACATAACAAAACAAGGAGGCGTGTGTGAGCTGCTGTAAGGGAGCGCTGTTTTCAACTGAAGCTGATATTAAAAACATTCACTGTTCAAAGTCTGCGTCTGGTCCAATATTCAACTTCCACAAGTTTTTCTCCTAAATGTACTTAAAGGATTTTTGAAAAGATTTTTTGTAAATAAGAGAAAAAACAAATCATTTTGGCGTAAATATTTAAAAAAGAAATAGTGTGAAAGTGAAGAGAAAGTAAGCATTTGGATTTCTGGGTGAAAATATTTGAAAAAGCTGATTTAGTAAGTTTTATATTCACATCCACAAATAGTTGATAGGATTAAAATTAACATTAAGAAAAACCTTTTATATTTATTCAGTGCAAAAATAATATCTGATGCTGATGACCCATATTTTGTTTTATGTGAATTTCTAGTGAAGTCCTTAATCCCAAAAACAAAACAAAGAAGATTTAGTAAATAGATCAAAGATTTACTTGGACCATGTTGATGTCTGGTCATTGTTTTGTGATGGTGATGCTCGATACTGACCAGTTCTGAGCTCAGCTCCTGCTTGAGTCTCTGTTTGTCTCGGTGTGAAACTGCAGGATCTTTGAGACAGCGAACAGCCTGAGAAACCAGCACATAGAAGCAGTTCTCCATAGAAAACATCAGCAGAGACCTGAAAACACACACATGCAAGTTAAAGAGACCCTTCACTTCACACAACCACCATTTCCTCACACTCCAGGGGTCCGTTCTTCGTACGTGGATTACTCAGTTAGCTGGATTTGGATTTTGACTATTTGACACGATCCAGGATCGTTTCGTTCTTCAATGCTGATCCGAGAGTTGTTGTCATAGCAACAGTTCTGCTAGGTCAAACTTGATCGGGAGCAGGTTCAATTAATATAAACAGGATTAGATCGGCTCAGTTCAAGCAAAGATAATACAGAAAGTATGTTCTGAATTCTGGTATTTTCCTACAGAAGTAGTTACACTTGGGAAAATGGTAAATA